ACGTGCCCGTGCTTAATTTGTATTTCGATGATTTACCTTCGCGCACCCCCAGGTGGTGCAGCGTGCACCCCCAGGTGGTGCAGCGTGCACCCCCAGGTTAAGAAGCAACGGTCTACAGGGAGCGTTACAAATTGGGTACCCGCGGTGGGCAGCTTCCCCCTACCACCTCTACCGCCGTCGCTGCGAGAGGCGGCAGAGATCCTAACACGGCCACGACGCTCCCGAGCGTCTCGCACGAGGGCAGCGCTCGACGCGCAGCCCTCGGCACCGTCTCACCGCCCCCCTCTCTTTACTGTGCCTCCATTGTGATGTCACTTGGGTCATGATGCGTCGCCCGCTTCTACCCGACGGGTGGGCGGCGTGGTGACGTGATGCTCTCGAGAGGCACGGGAAGCCGAAGGCGTAGGGGAGCCTCGTGCTACTTAGGGAAACGAGACCCCTGCATGCACAGCGGCCACCGTGGCGACGCGCGGCCTCAACCCGGCAACGTCCTGCGGTCGCGCTCGGTGCACACAAAGCGCGTGCCGCAAATGAACCGAAACGCCCCGCTGGTCTCGTCCATGAGCGTGAACCATCGCGCCAACTCTGGTCGTCCTCGCAGTGGCGTCTTTCGGCTGCTCGCCATCGAACAAAGACGGTCACCGCATCACACGCTGTCAGATGCACTTTTGCGGTCGTCTGGAACGCTCTTCTTTTATACCCGATATTAGGAAGCCACTGGAGCTCTGCACTTTTTAAGTCGAGGTTGAAAACTCATTTCTTAAGAGCTGCTTTTTGTGTGCTTAGTTTGTCCCGCCCCCCCCCCGCACCTCTGATTAGCACGGTTGGCTACGTACGGTGCGAAAGAAGTTCAACGTGCAACGTGGAGCTGTACGAACGGTCCGATGCGATGCGGTACACGAGCGGTGACCGCTGGCGAGAGGCGCGGTGCACGAGACGCCCCACCCCCACCCTGGGCGGATTGCGACGTCTGCCAGGGCCGCGAGAGAGAAGCCCGGAGCCTGAGAGGCCCCGTTACGTCGCCTTTCGCTTGCGCCGGAGGGCCACTGCGATTATTCTCTCCCCGCCTCGCAAACGCCTCGGGGAGAGCTCTTCCCGAGCATGAGTCCCGGTGATTCATCGAGGCTCTATAAACGTGTCACGTTATGATTGCTGTGATATTACCCACGTGCACACGGCTTTTTTGTTCGTCGCCATGGCCACGGTTTGTTGTCAGGCGTTTTTGCAGCAAACACTGCGGTGTTTGTTCGCAGCGGCGCGATGGCTGTAATTATGCCGCGCGCGGCTCGTGGATTACGAAGGCGAACAGAAACACCGTAGCCCCACCCGCGCTCCCAAAAAAAAAGAAACCGCTTGTTTGTGTCTCTATGTGGTTTCAACAATACACCTCTTGCATGTAACGCAAAGCAGCTGCTGTCCCGGCTGCCTGCCATTTAGCATAAAAAGCGCCCTGTGTGCAAGTTCAGAGCAATCAGGCTGCTATCCACAAGGGTGCCGCGCAATAGGAGGGGTGGGGGGGTGGAGGGGTGGCGTCCGGCTCAGCTGGGAAGAGCTCGGTTCAATTTAAAGGGGCATAAAACCCATAATAGCGCAGCCTCCTCACAGGCTCGCCTGACCGCCCTCCCCCCCTCACACTCGCCGTCCCATCTGTTAGCCCAGAGCCGCATCAACCCCGTGCCCCCTTTAATTGGCGAATGTGTGAACTCCGCGCAGTGTTGCCACCTTCGTGCGCAAAAAGTGTGGCGAGCGACGTGCGGGTCCTCCCGTCGCTCGCGGTAACGGGTCCTCCCGTCGCTCGCGGCGATGGGTCCTCCCGTCGCTCGTGGTAACGGGTCCTCCAGTCGCTCGCGGTAACGGGTCCTCCCGTCGCTCGCGGTAACGGGTCCACCCGTCGCCCTCGGTAACGGTAACGGGTCTGCTCCGTTTCCTAATTTGGGGGTCGTTTTAACCCCGAGCGGCGCCGTTGAGCTCGTTGTTATGGGGATGTTGCCGGGGGGTACAGGAACACCGCGCGGCGCTCGCGGAAATTCTCGGAGCAGCCCCATGCATCTCTGCCACGCATGGTTGCCGTGAGCCGGTGTGAGCCAGCGAGAGCCAGCGAGAGCCAGCGGGCCTCCGCTAGGCCGTCCGGTGCCCATCGGGGCCCGATCTTCTTGCCCGAATCACGACGCCGGAATCGAGATAGGAATTGGGCAAGTTCCGCATGCGAGGCGTCGACCATCTATTTCGGGAGCCACTCCAATCGATACTGGCCAGCTGGTACCCAGATTGATTCCAGTTCAGTAATTTGGCCGATATTAACCGTTTTACATAGCCATCGGCCAGACGTTACAATGGCAGTACTGGTCAGGCCCCAGGGACCATCCCTGAATACCATGGTGGGCTCCACACTGGCCACCCCCCCCCCTTCCATGATTCCATGTTTTTACTGCGCCCAGGATCCACATTCTATTCTCGTCTGAGAATGGGTTCGGAATTGCAGGCTTTAGGAACCATGAGCGTCACACAGCTCCGCTGGAGGCGTCTGTGGGAAAGAGCCTCGTAGCTCATCGGATTTCTGCAGGATAAATTAAAATATCTGATTCTGATTCGAGTCTCCTGTAGCCCGAGGCACCTCCAGCAAAGCAAGCGCAGTGTTTGTGGCGCCAATCCAGATCTGGCAGCGGTTCTACTTCCACTCGGAATGGACTTGCACGTCAACTTGCAGCGTGAAAGCAATGCCGCTTTATAAATGTAACGATCTGCAGCTATATTTCCTTTGTGCGTCGGTGCGCGCACGCTGCTGCGTGTTTGTGTTTGTGACGAGAACTCTAAGCCCTAAGGGGGATGGAGTCGGCAAAACCAATCACGGGAGGAATGCGTGATTGCAGGGTGGGATTGACGGGGAGCTGACGGTGCCCGTGTGAGTGCGGTGATGCGGTAGCGAGCAGCAGGCACGGGCGCGCCTCACAGGTGTGCCCACAGCCAGCGAGCCGTGCCGCTGGAAGCGTGAGAGCGGGCGAGCGAGCGGGTGAGGTTTGGTGGGTGGTTGAATGGGAGAGCGAGTGAGTGGGACATACGGTGAGCCGGTGAGTGAGTGAGCGATTGGGCGAGGGTGCGTGGGTTGAAGTGACGGGGAGGCAGCACCGAGCACCTCCCTTGCTTTGTCACGCTGTGATACCGCACGGACGCGGCGCTCGGCCGTCCCCGCGCGGCTTGGGTTACATGCGGGATTACCGTGTTATAGTCCCAACGTTTACACAATCGCCGCAGTCTCCCGGCCGGCCCTTACGAGTGCCGCAGTTGTCCTGGCACAAGACTCTGGGATCGCACGCGCTGTGCGCTGACCGCCGCTACACTCGAATCCAGCGCCGCGTCGCGAGCGTCAGAAGTATCAAGTTTCCGCGGGTCTTCATAAGCGCGTGAAAAGAAACGAATGGCAGTTTGTAAAACGGTCACTCTGCCAAACGCCTGCCGACGTTTACCCTGCTTGTAAGCGAGCGGTACACACGTGGCGTCGCCGCCGTTCTGCGGAGAGATTCCGTCTGACTGCACTTGTGTCGATCTTATCATGCCCCGGCAGCATAACGCTTCCACAGTTTTGATTTTAAGCTTTCGTGACTGCAGGGATTCATACACCCAGCCATCAGATTTACCATGTAAGTCGACGAAGATGGCAAGCTACCTTTTTTGGATGTCCTAATAAAAAAAGAGACCTGATAGTTCAATGAGCCACTCTGTCTACAGGAAAGCTACCCATACGGATGCTTACCTGAAACCGGATTCCCACCACCATCCATCCCAGAAGAATTCCCTCATCAAGACTCTGCATCATAGAGCCCAATGCATATCCGACCAGGAACACATAGCCAGTGAACTCAAGCACGTACACCAAGCTCTTAAGGCTAATGGGTTACTCCGTCTACACAATCCGCAAAGATATCACTCCAACCATGAAGAAGGACCCTCTTGAGGAGCCATTCAAAACCATCACTTTACCCTACATTGCGGGGATCACAAAAACGATCTCCAAAATCTTGAATAAACACAAGATCCAGGTCCGATTCAACACATTACATAAAATCCGTGATCTGGTACAGTACCCTGGCGTCTACAAACTAAGTTGCCTTTGTGGTAGTAGTTACATTGGAGAAACCAAACGACATGTCTCGGACCGCATCCGTGAACACAAAGCAGACCTAAAACACGGTAGGACCAACACCTCGGCCGTGGCAGATCACTTATAATTCAGTAGGCTCACATGAGATTGACTTCTCCAAGACAGAAGTTCTTTGTAAGCCATCTGGCTACCATGAGAGATTCGTTCATGAGGCTATCCACATCTACAAACACAGAGACACTTTCAACCGAGAAGATGGATTATGGCTTAGCAATAATTGGAAGGATTTGATAAACCATTTCGGGTCTTAATTGATTGTTCACGCTCACAGTGGCTTTCAGACCACATCCAATATTTTCGTCTCCCCCCTCCTCTTTTCCGAACATAGATGGACTCGTCCATCTGAACAAACTGCTAAATCGCTCTCCGTGGTGCTAACGTTAAATAAAACGCCACTTTTTTAAAATTTTCTTGCTGTGGTTTTCACACCTGATGATGATTGCTTGTGTTGCAGTCGAAACGTCGTGATAATTTTATTGTTTTATATTTTTATAATTGTATTGTTTCCCTTCTACGTGACTTTACCGAAAGAACCAAGAATATGCTTCCACAGTTGTTACTGGTGGAGCGAAGAGAGCCGCTCTCTCGACTACTTATTAATAACGCACCTTTAAGTGATGTGTCAAAAACATGTGGCATCTGCATCCTAATTTCTCCCTTCGCTGAAATGAACCGTTTATGAAAGAATAAAAAAGCAGTTTCCGTCCCCCGCCGATGCCTCGGCCGCATGAGAGCCTTGGCTATCGCGGCAACGGCAGCAGCTCCTCTGCTGCTCCACCCTGTGACCATGGTGCTCCCCCCCCCCCCACCTCTCACCTTCCCCCGCCATCACGTTGTACAGCTGGAGCTCGGACCGGTGGCGGTTCCGGAGGGGCGGCCCCGGCGCCGTCGGCCCCGCGCGACCTCGTCGCGGCCGTGGTGTCGACGCGCTTCGTGCGCCTCGTGTGGCGCGCGCCGGCCGAGCCGCGTGGCGACATCACGGCCTACGCCGTCTTCCACTCGCGCGACGGCGCCAGCAGGTGAGCGACGTTTTGTGGAGCGTACGCTCGCGCGCGTTCGCAATTACACGCTCGCGCAGACCGGCGAGAGCCCGCGTGGATTTGCTGACCAACGTAGATTCCACCCCCCCCCCCACCGCATGATGCGCTCCTCCTTCGAGCTCTCCACTTGTTTGTCCTGCTGCTGTCACGGGTCGCACCCTTTTTGAGTCCTTGTTCGCCTCTGTCCGTGCGTGTGAGCGCTGAACACAAGTTGCGAGGTTCCCCCTCGCGATTGGTCTGACGGGTGACAATGAGGACCCAGGCTACGGATGGGCGACTCACGACCGTTTGTGCATGCGGCTGCAGGGAGCGCGTCGTGAACACCAGCAAAACGGGCGACCTCCAGATCACCGTTTCTGACCTCCGACCCGAGACCACGTACGCCTTCCGAGTGGTGGCCTACAACAGGCATGGGCCGGGCGAGAGCTCCGCGCCGCTCAAAATCTCTACCCAGCCGGAAGGTGAGACGGCGATGAGAGAAGGGAAAGGCTGCCCTAGGCCCTAGTGCTCGCCGTGTCTCGCCAAGACGGAGGTTCTTTGTGTTTGTGTCGTGTGTCCCACTGGACGGGTGCTCGCTAACAGCACCTGTTACATCTGGCAGCCTTGAGAATCGTGCAGTTCCTTCCGCTGCCTCTCGGGGCGGCCGGCGGAGATGAGTTCTCGCTGCTCCCATTGCTCGTTTTGAATGGCGAGAAACACTGACTTTTTTACTTAATCGGAAAATATTTTTTTATAGATGTTACGTTAAAAAATAAAAAATGAACAAAGTTCGTTGTCCTCCCCCCCCCCCCACCTTCAATTAGCACGCTTGTCTACGTATGGTGCGAAAGAAGTTCAACATGCTGTACATACCTGGGTATTTTAATGCCCTGTTAGGTTCGCGGAGAGTGGAGAAGGCCGGTGTTGCTTTACACAGAGCCTGTAAATTCTGTATGGCCTTTGACCTCCTCGTAGTCGTGCTGTGGCCCCGAGGGCGAAGTCCCTGCAGTGGCCCGCGTGGCAAGGGGGGTGGGGTGTTACTCGCTGGGGCCCAGGCGCGCTTTCAAGAAGTCATACTTCCTTCCATAATGCAGGATTTTTTTGGGGCTAGATCGCGTAAGTACATAAATGTGTCGTTAAACCCGCCACCACCCGACACGGCCAACTAGTAAGGTTTGTCACGTAAACAGAACGTGCCAATTCGTTACCAGTACAGCACACCGTTGTGTTGGAGAGCAAAGCCACAACATTTATAGACCTTTTTCATCGACTGCGGGCGCAAAGCGACGTGTGTGCGCACGGCGGACGCTTCGCCGCCGTGAAGTTCGACCCATTGGCAGCCACGCCGACGTTGCATCATGAGTTACCGGCGTTGCGTCATGAGTTACCGGCGTTGCGTCATGAGTTACCGGTGTTGCGGCATGAGTTACCGGCGTTGCGTCATGAGTTACCGGCGTTGCGTCATGAGTTACCGGCGTTGCGTCATGAGTTACCGGTATTGCGTCATGAGTTACCGGCGTTGCGTCATGAGTTACCGGTGTTGCGTCATGAGTTACCGAGGTTGCGTCATGAGTTACCGGCGTTGCGTCATGAGTTACCGAGGTTGCGTCATGAGTTACCGAGGTTGCGTCATGAGTTACCGGCGTTGCGTCATGAGTTACCGGCGTTGCGTCATGAGTTACCGGTGTTGCGTCATAAGTTACCGACGTTGCATCATGAGTTACCGAGGTTGCGTCATGAGTTACCGAGGTTGCGTCATGAGTTACCGGCGTTGTGTCATGAGTTACCGGCGTTGCGTCATGAGTTAGCGGCGTTGCGTCATGAGTTACCGAGGTTGCATCATAAGTTACCGGCGTTGCGTCATAAGTTACCGGCGTTGCGTCATGAGTTACCGCGAAAACTTTGCTTTTCCTGAGTGTAAAACTTTCTCGCGCCCGCTCGCGTGTCCTTTGGTGCAATCTCGGGAACGACGTAGCGTTTGTGCGCGGCTGTCGCGCGGAGATTTTACAGCTGTGCTTGTTTAGCCCATTAAGCGCCTGGCACGTCTCCCAGTATAAACGGTGCACTTAATGTGTCCACACAGCCCAGTGGGTCACTTAAAAAAAAAAGTTACTATTTTAATTTGACCAGGTAAGGCCTACTGAGCTATGTACCTCTTTTTCAGAGGCAACTTGGCCATCATAAATGATAGCTGAACGAAGTGGTTTATGAAATGGAAATTTATAGCAGCCGTATACTCTAAACGCGTGTTTCTAAGTGCGGAGGGAAATACCAGAGAACTTGCAAACTCCAAATATACAACAGGCGTCGGGGTCGGGATCGAACCCACGACTTCCTGCATACCAGGCGAGGTAGTTAACATCTCGTCCCTGCCCCCCCCTGCGGGCCCCTGGCCGCACACACCACCGGCCACGTTAGCCGGCGGCTGCCTTTCGCGCGAGCGTCACGGCGGTGCAGTCGTGCGACCATGGGGCCGGCACTGAAGAGACGCCGTGTGCGGGATCACGATCTGCTGAACATGGTGGCTCTCTCACTCCAGCGCTGTCCTACCAGACAGTCTCGCTCCCTTCACCTGATGAAGGCCGCTTGTGTTGTGGCCGAAACGTCGTGAGAATATTATTGTGTTATTTTATTTTATCAATTTATTATTTTATTCTCATTCTACGTGACTTTACCGAAAGAACCAAAGAAGATGAATCGTGTTTCCTGTTGGCTGATGCACAGCGGGGGGCGGGGGGGGGGGTAGTGGACTGTCAAACGTGTCTCAGTTGCCCTTTGCGTAATCTCGGAGCCGTTTGTGCCAGTACGACAGAGGGTTGTGAAGAAAAAAAAATTATACCAAAGAAATGACGAACAACCGACCGGTGAATGTGACAGGGGAGAACATTTAATACAAATGTGGTGTTTCCACGCAAGCTCCGTTAAAAACCCCCCGAGACGGTACTTAGCGGTGATCCCTTCCCGGGAATTGGTCAGCGTTGCGTGGCCCATGATTGTGTTACGGGCTGTTAAGTCAGTTTCATTAACCGTCCACGGTGCGTCCATCAAATCGCGCTTCATTCTAACGCAGATGCCAGCTGAGGCGGTTTGATTAAAGCCCGACCGGGTGATGTTTCATGTTCTCCCGCATTTGCCTTCCATTTAAAAGTGGGCGAGAGTCACCCGAATCTGTTTCAATGCTCCTGGGCTGCATGCTGTTCCAATTTGGCCTCAGGAGCAACTGCCGGTGGAGCAATATATTCAAAACGTCGGCTGATGCATTATGAAACCAGGGGACATTTGCCCGAGTTTAAAATGATATCACGTTGCAATACATTCGCACGCTACGAAGGCACGTAAAGCGATTTCTAAGCGAGGCATGTGGAGTTGTATGTATGTGTGCATCATGCGTAGCCAACCACGCTAAGGAAGGACGATAAACTAAGCACAAAAAGCAATTCTAAAGCAATGAGTTTGTCAATCTAGATGATTATTTAAAAGTGCATCGCTCCCAGTGACTTCCTAATATCGGAAGGAAGAGCGTTCCAGACGGCCACAGAAGCGCATCTGAGTGAACTGATGAGGCGCAGCGCTAAGCTGGCAGAACCCTCGTCTGATAATTAGCAACGTGGATCGACACTCTGCCCCAAGTGCCGCATGAAGGGGCAGCAGCAGGGCCGAGACCCTCTGGCCCTCACCGCTACGGGTAGTTTGAGCCATCCAGCAGCGCTTTTTACCAGCAAACCTGCCGATGAGAAGTTGAGACCAGCCCAGAGTTTTGCTGCTGAGATAAATTTTCAAAAGGAAACATTGGTCCATGAAGGCCCATTAATAGATTTCTTCTTAATTTTTCGATTTGAAGCTTTCGTGACTGCAAGGATTCATCTTCTTTGGTTATTTCGGTAAAGTCACGTAGAATGAGAATAAAATAATAAAATAACACAATAAAATTCTCACGACGTTTCGGCCACAACGCAAGCGGCCGTCTTCAGGTGAAAAGTGCAGAACTGTCGGGACGACAGAGCTTCAATGTCCATCAATGTCCATTGAAGCTCTGTCGTCCCGACAGTTCTGTACCTTTCACCTGAAGACGGCCGCTTGCGTTGTGGCCGAAACGTCGTGAGAATTTTATTGTGTCATTTTATTATTTTATTCTTTGTAATTATTTTATTTTGGTGATGTCACAGACCCTTTCCGGTACGGTCTGTTATGTTATCATTATTTTGTTGCAAATTAATTTGCGGTTAAGTCGAGGAGAGAACCGGGTTAAAGTTCATACATAATTGGCAACAAACGTGTCGTCTGCTTTAAATCGCAAAATGAACAGACCCTGCGACATCAATTCACGAACAGAGTAGGCGCCAATTACGTACCCCGGTGTCGAAAACCCAAATCCTAAATGGGACATACCTGCAAACTAAACCGCGAAAGGTGACCGCGGGGTTTTCCACTGCCCGGAGGGATCGAGTCCTCAGCGGGCTCGCTGCCGACTCGTCGTTAGGCGCGGGGGAGTATTTATGGAGCCAATAACCGCTGTCAGGATGTGTGCCCGTCTACCACAGCACAGCATGGGGGTTGCATGGCTGCCCTGTTCGGGGAGTAGTGCTGTGGTAAGGTTTAATGCGCGTACGTACGTTGAACTTCTTTCGCACTCTACGTAGCCAACCGTGCTAATCGCAGGCGTGGTGAAAGGACCACAAACTAAACACTAAAAGCAGTTCTAAAAAAATTAGTTTTCCATCTAGATTTGAAAGTGCATAACCCCAGTGGCTTCCTAATATCAGAAGGAAGAGCATTCCAGACGTTCGGATTTGAAAGCGCACGATGCAATCAATCGTATTTGTTCGATGGCTAGCCAAAGGGCCGCTGCTGCGAGACGTTCGCGCGATGGTTTATGCTCCTGGACGAGATCAACAAGGTTATAATGGAGAGCCTTCTGTGAGGGGCACCGTTTTTTTGTTATTTATGCGACTCGTGTTTCCCAAACACGAGTCGCAGCTGCCCAGTCTGCAGCCAACTCGTTTTGCCTCGGCTGCGCGTGCTGCGCACTCCGATAGGCTCCTCAAAGTTGGAAAATTCGCGGAAAGTAAATCCCTGTCGAGAAAGTGAAGCATGGCCTGCGTCGGGCGCCTGCCGCCGTTTGGCCGCAGCGGCGTGCCCGGGTGTGGGGTCGGGTGAAACCTGGGGCCCTCGGAGGGCCCGCTGCGTCGGCGTCGTCGTAAAGGTGAACGGTGGGCAAAGGCGGCGGCCCCGGTAATTGCTCGCTCGGCCCCATCGCTGCTGGCCGAAGGGCCTCCACTCGAGGGAGTCGTGGTGAACGCCTCTCGCGGGCACTTCTCCTGCTCGTCTGCACGGACCAGATGTGTAGGAGGAGGTGTGAACGCGCACACTGTACCCCGTCGCACGTGACCTGCCCACATGTCTAACCGTGGCGCGTACCCCGTGTTTTACTGCTGGGTGGAACGATGCGGCGGGCGTGAAGTAACGTGGACGGACTGATTGACATCTCGAGGAGTAGTTGCGAGTGTTGACGGTTGTTAGTGGTAGAGTCGCGACGGCTGAGAGCCTTGCACGGTTGCGATTGTCAGACGCGGTGCGGAGATCTCACGGTGGGCCCCCCCCCCCCCCCGCCTCCTTGGTTCTCAGTGCAAGTGCCGGGCCCCCCCGTGGGCCTGCAGGCGACGGCGCTGTCCCCCACGTCGGTGTCCGTGTTCTGGCAGCCGCCGCTCTCGGGCAACGGGCCGATCGTCAACTACCGCCTCCTCTACGTGGAGCGTGGCAAGGGCCCCACCGGCGAGCAGGTCGGGGTCGCGACCTCACCGTCATGCCGCAGCCTCGGCGGCCGAAAGCGGGCGCACCGCGGCGCTCCGCTCCGCACGGCGATCGTCTGTTTCCGTTCACCGTGTACGCGTATACGGTCAACGGAACGGAATCGGAAGAAAAACTGAAGTAAAATAACTTTGTCGGTTCGTCTTCAGGTCGGAAGACGTACTGAGGCTCCCACAAGGCCATGCGGGAGGACGTGTGGCACAGTTTGGCACCTGCTATCATAGAGTGTGGTCGTGTCGCTACGGTTCTCTGCGGTGAATACAATGTCTTTAAAAACAGCGGCGCTACGCCTCTCTAAATAAAATGAATGCTGAACCGCTTGCGCGGTATTCAGCGGTGAACGGGACACCCACCCCGCAACTTGCAGAAGTCTCAGAACGGGAAAGGGTTTTCGTGCGACACTGAGCCCGTCTAGATCGCTCGCTTTGTTGCCGACCTGCGGGTGTCCTCTGGTCTAGGCAGGTTTGCAAGTTGAACGCTCGTAGAGAATTCCTGTGCCACACACGCTCTCGCCCGACCGCGGAGTCTGGGCAGGGGGGGATAGTGGCACCCCCGGCGTGTGCTGGCTGGTCCTCGTGGCACGTGCGGTGTAGACGCGGCGCCAGCAGTTGAGATGCCTTCGTGAGCAAAGTGGTCTCCACTTGCCGTGAGCTAAACGCACTGCTCACGGCCTCAGGCTACCTTTGTTATGTTTCTAAAAGCTCTCTCCGGTTGGTTTTTGACCGTCGGTGTTTCAGTCTGCCGGGCATCTCCGGTAAACGTCTTATATTTGGTTTCACGCTCCTGTTTTTAAACACTATCCCTTACCACATCCCCTGCATTTAAACTCGGCACAAAAACGTAACCGCTCTTAAGCCGTGTTTGTGGATTTCCACAAAATTAATGTTGTTATTTTCTAGTGTATACGCAGCTTCATTATGTCAAAATTGTCTTTATTAATATCATTAAAATTTGATGTACAAACGTGGCCTTCTGTGATTAGATATCCTTCCATAATATGATTTCATAATAATTGGTAAAAACAAGGTACGGAGTAAATTGATTTACGGGATATTGATGGATGTTTTCCTCCCGTCAGGCTAATGGATAAGTGAGTTACCCTGATGGGCCTGACTATTGAGCATGAAGAATACGGGGGAGACCCCATCAATAGGAGGATAATAAAGTGGACAGTAATCTGAACGTAACAAGTTTTTGAAATTGAAAATAGTAATTTGTTAAGTGTGAATTACGATTGATGCGTGGCCGTTTCCATTCACCCCCCACCGCTCCTCTCCCGTGGACGATAATGGATCGTTAATTAAGTATCTTTGCAGGAAAAGGGGATGGCACACACACACACACACGCACGTCCACAACAACAAGGGGCGTACGCCACCAGGTGGCGGCGACGTCACCACAGCTCCTGTGCCAGGTTAGGTGCACCTTGAGGAAGGCCTGTTATGCAGGAGGTCGTGGGTTAGATCCCGACCCCGACGCCTTTATATTTTTAATTTGCACATTCTTCCCGTGGTCGCTTGGATTTTTATCCGGGGTCCTCCGGCTCTTCCACTCCACATTTAGAAACCTGCGTTTGGAGCATATTTGGCTTGCTATAAATTTCCACGCGATGATAATCTGCTTCGTTGAGCCATCATTTGTGGCAAGATCGCTTCTGAAAAAAGAGCAACACATATATATAGCTCAGTGGGCCCTTACCCTGCTAAAGTAAAAAATATCGCGCCAATCGACGTGGTGGTGAAACGCGGTCAAGCAAGCGTGAGATTGCGTGCGAGGCGGTCTTTCGTCCATGGACAAAGAGCCGTAAATGACAGTGTGTTTGTCTTCATCTTAAAACGTCGCCGACTGGGTCTGCGCTAAACGATCGCCCTCCGTGCCCCCCGCGCACGCGCGCGCACCCCAGGAAGTGGACGTGGAGGGCCTCTCGTTCGTCGCCCACGGCCTCAAGAGGTTCACCGAGTACAGCTTCCGCGTCGTGGCCTTCAACCGGCACGGCCCGGGCCTCTCGTCCGAGGACGTGATGGCGCGCACGCTGTCGGATGGTACGTACGTACGCGAGCACGCACGCACGCACAAGAACAAAGACAAAGGTCCCCTCGTGTAGCCTTTAACAGACTGTTGGGGTAAGTGCTGTTAGCGCGCACCTATGAAGGCCGGCATAGCACACGAGGTTGGATGGCCAGCACCACGCCGGTACGAGCACACGAGCGCAGACGTATGCACGCAAGGACACGCGCGCACGTACGCACACGCGCAGTCTGATGTGGAGCCAGTCCGGTGCTGAGCTCCGTTTGCTCGCTCGCAAGGAGAGGGGGTCCCACGTCTATCCCCGTAAACTCTTGGGACAGTCGTTGGTAGCGAGCGGCCGTCAAGGCCGGCGGGCGAGGCTCACGGAGGATGGCATGGGTAGTCACGCACCCAGCTGCTTCTCTCCCCTTGGTTCCGATGTTGATCATCACACTTCAGCAGCGAGCTTCTTATTTTTACACCGAGCGACACAGGGAGAGATGGAGGCCAGGATCACGCGAGCCATCAGCTGCTGTCCCCCGCTCCCCCTGCTCTGCTCGGTAGAGGCTCTTCCCTCCGCAGCCCCGATGGTGGTGGGGTCAGGGTTTTGATCACCCCCTCCTCGGCTGCCTCTAACGATCGTGTTTGTTTGCAGTGCCGAGCGCACCCCCCCAGAACGTGACGGTGGAAGTGCTCAACTCTAAGGTAAGCTTGGGTTACACCCCCCAACTCCCACACTCCACCGCTCCCCAACTACCCCACTCCACCGCTCGCCAACTACCCCACTCCACCACTCCCCAACTACCCCACTCCACCGCTCCCCAACTACCCCACTCCACCGCTCCCCAACTACCCCACTCCACCGCTCCCCAACTACCCCACTCCACCGCTCCCCAACTACTCCACTCCACCGCTCCCCAACTACTCCACTCCACCGCTCCCCAACTACCGCACTCCACCGCTCCCCAACTACCCCACTCCCACCACTCACTGTCGCCAGACTTGGCTCATGCTGGGCTCGGCTTGGGGCCGGGGTTATGCGTCTGAGCGACAGCAAGCGTAGTAACTTTCTCCGTGCGTGCTGCACGAAAACCTGCAACTCATAAACCGTGCAGACTTTTGAGACACTCCGCATCCTCTGCGTTTCATTTCCGTCGGTCCCGCGGTAAGCCTTGCTCGCCAGCAAAAACCACAGCGTAACGTTTCGGTAACCTACAATTATCGGCGGTTTCTGATTTATGCTTTCCTACGTAACACTGAAAACCGCCTTTTAAAGAAAGGAATAATGATACCTCGTAATGGAAAGTGGAAAAAAATACAAAACCTCCGGGAACACCGAGGCGTAGGAAAATAAACTTGAAACATACGCCGTCCGGTCGCTGCATCGAATCATCGCCCTGCCGCCCTGGGCTCCGTGCCCGGAGCGACGCCCGCGGCCGCTTGCGGCATCGTGGGAGAGCGCGGCCCCTTGGGCGCGACGCCACCGGCCGGCGCTCACGCGGACTCGCCGGGCCCGCCGTGGTCGGCCAAACGTGGCGGAGAACGAGTTTTGAGAGGGGTTGGAAGCCGTGAACCTTCGCCCCCCTTTCTCCGTTCCGAGAAGCCGAATGTGGGAACGCGCAAAGCCGCACCGTCTCTTTTTTTTGTTTTTAAAGACGTCGCTCGTCGCAGAGAACCGTAGCGACACGGCCGCACTCTGCGATAGCTGGCGCCAAACTGCGCCGCTCGCCCTCGCGCGTGGCCTTTTACTTCGGTACGTGTACGTACGTCGTCGGGACGGGAAAGCGGTGAGGGGGGGGGGGAGAGGAAAGTCTCGAGCCTGGACCTGAGCAGAGGCAGGGAGTCGACAGCACAGGTGGCTGGGGGGGACATGCCATTTGTTTCTCATTAAATGCCGGAAACGTGTCACGCTTGGTGGCATCTGCCGTCATCGTTTTGAGAAGGATGCGCACCTCTCCGCTCGCCCCTAAGGGTGCTTGCAGATGAACGGCGGCCAGACTGCACCAAACCTCTGCTCTCAATCGGTCGTGTTCGTGTTTCGCGGCCTAGAGCTGCTGCACAGCTGCTGTCTCGGTGGGCTCTCACCTGGATTGGTTGAACAAAGGTCTTGTGAATATCCAGGGAGTGTTTGTGGATATCTCTGTAAAGCGAGGGATTGTAGTGAAGTGACTTTTGTATCGAACTGTTAGGAAAGTGGCGTTTTAGGGTTATTTTCTCTCGCTCTCCACCCTCGCTCTCCCCATGCTCTCTCCCCCTCGCTCTCTCCCCCCTCGCTCGCTCTCCCCACGCTCACTCCCCTCGTTCTCTCCCCTCGCTCTCTCCTCGCTCTCCCCTCGCTCTCCCCACGCTCTCTCCCCTCGCTCTCCCCACGCTCTCTCCACCCTCGCTCTCCCCACGCTCTCTCCCCCTCGCTCTCTCCCCCCCTCGCTCTCCCCTCGCTCTCTCCCCACGCTCTCTCCCCCTCGCTCTCCCCCCTCGCTCTCTCTCCCTCGCTCTCTCCCCTCGCTCTCTCCCCCTCGCTCTCTCCCCCTCGCTCTCCCCCTCGCTCTCCCCACACTCTCTCCGCTCCCTCTCTCCCCCCTCGCTCTCCCCTCGCTCTCCCCTCGCTCTCTCCCCCTCGCTCTCTCCCCACGCTCTCTCCCCTCGCTCTCCCCACGCTCTCTCCCCCTCGCTCTCTCCCCACGCTCTCCCCCCTCACTCTCCCCACCCTCTCTCCCCACGCTCTCTCCCCCCTCGCTCTCTCCCCTCGCTCTCTCCCCTCGCTCTACCCCCTCGCTCTCTCCCCTCACTCTCTCCCCCTCGCTCTCCCCTCGCTCTCTCCCCCTCGCTCTACCCCCTTGCTCTCTCCCCACGCTCTCTCCCCTTGCATTCTCCTCGCTCTCTCTCACGTGCACATTGATTGACACCGCATGCCCCACGCGTCTCTTGGGGTGTCGCTGGAAGAAATGAACTTTATTCACGCGAGATGCGATTCTTGTCGGCAGCCCTGACAGGAAACAGGCAGCCTTGATTTAGATGGAATTTCGATGCCCTGGAGATTGGGGTCGGAGGGCAAAGGGCAAATCCATTCCTGCCAGTCATATTCTGCCATTCCTTGCTAATTACTCCAAATACCGAAGAGCCGCACACAATAGGCGTTTTTCCCTGCACTTTATTATTGTTCATCGGTGGTGGGACTTTTTCTATTTAATCATCCCGAGGCGGCACGTACGCGTCGCGTATGCGGGCCCTGGCAAGAAATCGATATGACGGGGGTGGGGGGGGGGGGAGAGGTCTGGGTGGGGAGTCGCTGTCCAGCCGCGGCTGCATTATTAATCACAAACGTTTCCGTGCTCCTCGTGCATCACGAGCCGCCCTCGTTAACATTCGGGCTCGGCGAGCCGTTAGAAATCGCGGCTCCCGGAGCCTCGCTCGCCGTGGCAGCGAGAGCCGCGCCGCCGTCGCGAGCGTGATAGCCGCTGAGGACAACTCGCCAAACGCAACGACGCCAACCGTTGCCTGCCTGATGCTTCATTGTGGCCGTGATGATGACCGCATGCGGGACGTGGCAATGAACCGTTTCGTCCTCATTTTGGGATCGTCAACGAGGTGGAACAATACCCAGAGATGTTGTGGCATTGCACGTTCAAAGGCTCTCGGCCTTTACCCAGACCGGCGGCTCGGTGGCCATTTTTGTCGTTTTGAGAATTCAGAAAATGTGGCCGTCCCAACACGTGAGTTCTTTTGAGTTGGTGGTCTGGGTAAGGCCACGAGCTTTTGTACCTGCAAAGGTGTGCTTTGCAAGTGGTTGAATCCGTTTTGATTTTCGGCCTGTGCTCGTGTTTCCGTGCGCTGCACGTGAGCTGCACGGGGTGCGACCGCCGCCGAGCGTGGACGTGCCGTCCGACGAAGTCATTTCGATCATAACGGCGGCAAGCGCGGCGGCCTCCCCTCTCCTTCCTAATGACCTCACGCGATCTTCAATTTTCACCGTGAAGTAGACTGTCGCGTAGTTTTTTTTTACGGTCAATGCACCCGCGCGGCATTAACCGGGGTCGGATTTGGGCCCGAACCAACGAGCCTCGGTGAACAAGCGGGCGCAAGCGGCCTCCCGCCCGGCCAGGTCACCGTTCCCAAAGGTCCCCCGGGCCCGGCAAGGAGTGGCAGGCCGCGTATCAAACGAACGATGGGAGACGGCGCTTTACCAAGCGGAAAATAAGTCGTCATTTAATCTGAAAGGTGACATTTCACCTCCTCTTATTTTTCTCGGAGGGGTAAGCTAAATATTTAATATCGCTGCTGTCACAGGCCAAAGCCTCGAGCTCTGCAGAGGCAGCATCCAAGGCCTCCTCCCCTACCCCCACCTCCTGCCACCACCCCCCCCCCCCCCCCCCAGGGCCTTGAGCTTCCACCCGGTAGGGTGGCCCCGTCGGGCTTCATTCAGCGCACGACTCCGCTGGCGAGCGCGAGAGACGTTCACGTTCCTCGCTCCGTTATTAACCTTGTAGCCGTTACCGCTTGAGCCGCGTGGACCGCGTCATTATCAGCCTCGTGTTGTCTCCGGCATCAATTGGATTCCGAGTTTATTTCCACTTGGATTCTTGATGGGATCGTACCTAGTCGCCGTGGTCAATTGTAGGTAAAGTGCAGCTAGCAATGCGCTCGCGATGATAAGCGTTCAACAAATGAATCGCAAAGTGTTTTTCGGGCAATCAGAGCGGAACTGCTGAGGCAGCGTGCATCAATAATGCAGGCGTCTCGGGTTCTCAGCGGCCGCCTCGTGTCGGAGGAGGTGTGAGGGACGGGTGTGGGGCAGCGCCCTCTTAGGAGGTGGTAATTCTGACCAGCGGCCCAATGGCCCAGCAGGGGCCCCAGTGTCGATAGGACGGTGGAACCTGGCAGTGGGAAAGCGTTCGGCAGGAATCCGCTCACTTGCGCTCCAGGAGAGACGACGACGCCTGTCAGATCCACCGAGGCACTTAACACTCTGCCACGCGCGGCGATCGTGGGGCTTAAATATGACGAGCGACGTGAAGGGTGCATGGCACCACGTCCTCCTGCGACACCGGCGAGAGAGGGACAGACGCTCGCACCCCGCGCCCAGAGGCACCCTTCTCTCTGCCTGGGCGCTCGGCGGTCGATCGCCCCCTCCCCCCCCACCCCGTGACCTTCGCGATCTCGGGAGGAAGAGGAAGAAGACCCTGTAACCGCACAGCTGCTTTGAACAGCACTTTAATATTTTATGAACTTGGGCTAAATCGGGCCCATTGTACATTAAGCCAATAGAAAGTAATTAATTTCTGGAGATTGACATTCGGGCAGTTCAAAGCAGTCGGGGTTAAGAAAATTCTACGGACGGCATCGACCTGCTGCGCAGAAACACGGCCTGGAAATACCTCGCCGCCCTCGTCGTGATCGGAGCCACTGGAGTAGTAATAATAATAATAATAGCGCGGAGGTTCTCCTGTTACAGCTCCGTATTCCATCGCTCCCCCCCACCCCCCGCTCTGCCTGCAGTGAGGCCACTTAAGAAATGCAGCTTAATAATCGCATTATTAAGTCATCGGGCCACGTGCGAGTTCCAACTGCGGGGGAAGCGAATCCAGCCAGCGGAGGTTCGGGTTTCCTGGGCGTTTTGAGGATGAGGGTGCCACGTGCCCCCGCGCGCCCGCAGCGACGTGGCGCTCCCCTCGCGACGTTTTACCCAACGGATTTTCGTGGAGCGTGGCAGGCGAGGGGGACGGTCCCCGCCGTTGTCCTTTGTGCGCACGCCATCGCGCCGGCGGCGATGACGGCGGCGGCGTTGATCGCCTTCGCTCACGACGAGGTTGGAGCTCGTCCGAGACCGAGGGAGTTTTATTTTTTTCGAGGCCCGGTTGGGAGGGGTGGGGGGGGGCTAACTAAGTACGCGGCGCAGATTCCAGGGCGCAAACGACTCGAATCGCGGATCGAGTGTAATTGGTGGTAGCGGCTCCGACCGCTCTCCTTTCATCAGCCGCCTCTCGTTTGTTTATTGTGTATGAGCTTCACGGAACGGTGAGCACTGTTGATTTTGCATCGCCGGCATGCACGCTTCGGGAGGAATCGCCCCCCCCCCCTCTCTCCCCCCCCGCTTCGTAGCCCCCCCGTGGCCCGTGGGCTCCGTCGGTGCAGTTGCACCGCCCGCGCACGGCCACTGTCCTCGTGGTTGCACGCGTGCCTCGCGACCGACGGGGTAGGCAGCAGAGTTTTCTCATCAAGTGCAAGTTTCTCGAGGGTGGTATTTGACCGACTTGCGAACACGTCGGGGCTAATTGGCGAATTGCCCGTGGAGTAAATATTCCAGAGCGAAACCCACGGCGTTCTCAGATTTGCCCCGCAGCTTCGTTTTGCGTCTTCATTAACAATGATAATAATAACGGCAGCCACTCGCCCAGGATACCCGCAGTGAGTCTCGGGACTCTTATAGGAGACCCCTGCATCGGGACGTTTGGCTTAAGACCATTAACGATTTTTGGACCTCACTCACGAAAACATTTAATTATCCGGAGAAAAGCCCTGCATACTTTGGAAGAACTCTCCAGGGTCACAGACCGGGCCATATCATGAGAGCGATGGTCTAGCCACTGTTGGACAGTCGTTGAGCACGAAACTGAGAAAATTTCAGTCGCAGGACACTTTGAGAAGGCCCTCGCAGTATGGAGCAGCAGCGTTGAGAGTCGGCGTCGCGGAAACGCACGATGGGACCAAAGTGGCGCAGCGAGACGGAGGAGGTCACGGCGAGGCCCTCGCCCCCGCGTGTGCGTGCGCGGCCGCCGTGAAACGACGCCGCTGGCTCTGGTGATGAATCGGCGCGGCTACTTGAGCCCCGCGCAAGAGGTTGCGGGAACGCGGCGGAGGGTTGTTGTTATGATTGCAGCTTTCCCAGGCTGATAGTCGAGTCGCGATTTAATCCGGACTCGTTTTGCGTCTGGCAATTCGGTGACCGCCGTGAAGCAATAAATTTAGGTGATGGCGATTGAAATGCGTTAGCCTGCGATAAGTCGCCATCTCTCCAAACGGAAGCCTTGGTGCTTGAAGAAACAATGATGATGAAATCCTAATTTTTTTCATGAAACTAACAATTATTGCTGAGTGAGTTTTTTTTTATTTAACGAAAGTAATGTTAAGTCGTTCGCGAATGAAGCGCTATCGTTTCGTCTTTAAGAGTTGGCGAAGCTGTGAGAAAACGGAGGACCTGCGTGTGTGAAACGTGCCTCAAAAACAAGTCGAGGCGTATGAAAAATAAGAATAGGTTTTACCCGACGGGGGCCTCACCGCCGTCCGTGTGCCGCAGGCCATCCTGGTGCGGTGGCAGCCCCCGCCCCCCGGCGCGCACAACGGCGTCATCGTCGGATACCGCATCCGGCACCGCAAGACCGGGCGGCGCAGCGAGGCGGAGGTCACGGAGAGCAGCCAGCTGTGGCACCAGCTCGCCGGTGAGACGCTCGGCGTGCACGCGTGCGCGTTCGTGCGCGCGTGCGTGCGTGTGCCTGCAGAGAGACCCTTAACGCACCCTGTAGCCTCGGCAGGCTGTTCGGGGCGAGCGCTGTTAGCGAGCACCGGTGAAAGCCGGCGCGGCACCACGCCCGGCCTCCTTTGGTCTCCTCCTCAGTGGCGGTGAAGTTTACACTCCGGCAGCAAGTGCTCATTTAAGGCTCGCCCGACCTACGGACGAACCGGAGATCGCTTCGGATATTCCCCACTCGATGTTGGGCCGTGAGCGGGAATCGAATTGGGGTCGTCGGGTTAGTGGCACGGTGGTTTTGGTCAGCCCACGCCGCCGCATACGCCGTGTTTCACGCGCGCAAGCATTTGCGCCTGCGCACGTGCAACATATATACGCTCCAGCGAAACGCTCGCACGACTGAGCAAGCACAAGGCCCTTCACGTTGTGCGAGGATATGCCCACTCAATGTTCTCTCGTGTTTATAAAAAGATGCTGCCCTTGAGAATTTCAGGCCCTCGGAACACAACGCTTGTCAGCCAGCTCCCATTACTGCTGCATGCAGCATGGCGGGGTGCGGGGAGCATTGGCGGAATGATTAGCTCACCCGCGCTGTGAAGCCTGCCCTGTTAAAGCAATGCCTCTCGGTATCCTGACGTTATAAAGCAATGTCGTCAATAGATGCCGAGTTTGACTCTGGCCAGACACATGTGGTAAAGCCACATTGCGAAGCAAAAGCATCATTACAGAATCCAGACTGCACACACATAAAAAAAACGTTATTTTTTTTGGCGGTGTTTGCCACCCTCCAGCTCTTGAGGAAGACCGATTTCTGTTAGCTCGTCATGCAACAAAAACCATTGAGAGGCGGCATAAAGGAGTGGACAAATGCCAATTGAAGCAGCTTGAGAACTAATACATTTTCCAGAGCCGTTTGCCAACGCGGCGCGGTGCCGTGTAGTGTTGGCGGACGTGCTCCGATCGCTACGAACGGGGTGCCTCCTGTCACTTGACAGGAGGCACCCCAGAGTCTAAACTAAACTATTTTTTTTATTTTACCAGGGAAGGCCCACTGAGCTATGTAGCTCTTTTTCAGAAGCGACCTGGCCACAAATGATAGCCCAACGAGAAGTGGCTTATCACGTGGGAATGTATAGCGGCCACATACTCTAAACGCGCGTGGAGGGAAAAAAACGCAGAACCTGGAGAAAAATCCCTGCGACGACGGGGAGAGAGACACGCAAACTCCAAATATACAGTAGGCATCAGGGTTGGGATTGAACCCACGACCTCCTCTATACCAGGCGAGGTAGTTGACATCTCGCCACCACGAGTCGCTGCTGACCAACCCGAAGCGCACCACGAATGAGACCAGCGCCAGTGTTTAATCGCCTGCCTGTCGCTGCACGTGCTACTGCTGCTCTTGTCGCGACGGCCGCCTTGCTCGCCAGGCCTGGAGCGGGGCACCGAGTACAGCTTCAAGGTGTCGGCGCTTACGGTGAACGGGACGGGGCCCTCCTCCGACTGGGTCTCCAGCGAGACCTTCGAGGAGGACTTGGACGGTGAGACCCGAAGCTGCTGCCCTCCCCGCGCACGTCTCCTCGCTATTGCAATCTCACGCGTGTTCCGTGAGTGAGAAAGCCAGAAACACATAGACTTATCCGTCGTAAAGGTGTTTTGGCGAAAGCCTACGTGTTAAACTGCTTGTAAACTGCAGGAAGGCACGACTCCCATGATGCTTTGCATTCACGTGACCGCCACGTTGCACGCGCGACGTTCACGTATTGTCGTGTTTTTGTTTAGTCCAGCAACTCAACAATGAGGGATGACCACTTCTCAATTATTGTTTGAAATTAGTGGTCTCAACAATAATATGGGCACTTGTTCAGCTACTTTGAGTGAGTGGCCTAGACAAGGCTGAGAGCATTGTGCATGTAATGTGTTGGTCACGTGATATGCATGCAAGGCATGATGGGAGTCATGCGTGTGAACAGCACACCTCTGCTTATTCTTATTTCCATGCCTTCAATATGTTTTATCTCCGTGTCTTGGGTAGGGTACGCAATGAACACACGTGTGGCTGAGAAAACACCAATCCGACCGAAGAAAACCTCTTTGTTATATTTTATTTTTGATCTCCACGACTCATCGTGTCACATCTCAGAATATACACCGCAAAGTCCAAGAGGATTTGCTGATCCTTGCAAATGCTATCGAGGCTTACTGGCACTGCGCACGGACCGAGCGTCCAGACTGTAACCTCATCGCTGCACTAAATTTACACAGCTGCTCCTCGTGAATTCCCGCGCCGGGTCATTGTGTGAGCGCGGGCGTTTGAGTCATCGCTGCTGCCCGCCGCTGCTCCTAGCGAGCGATCCCTCCTGAAGGATCTCGCGACGGGAGTCACCGTGGCCCCGTCTCCATGGCCCTTGAAGCCGTGAGCGGATCCGCCGCGGTTGTGTGTCCGGCGCAACCCCCCCTCTTTCCACCCCCCGCCCCCTGCCCCCCCCCCCCACCCGCCAGGGTTCGGTTTGGCTGTCCCCCGCTCGGTGGCTGAGCACGCACGGCAAGGCGTCCGTTACGGTGCGGCCACGATTGGCAGAGGGTCCTCTAGGACCACAAATAACATTGGTCCTCTGAAACCCAGAGAGTTTGGGTGGTCCGAGTGCGTTTAGAATTTCACAAAGTGTGGCAAGTTCTCCCCACCTGTTCCGCACGGGATTTCTCCGATTTTACTCCCATAGCTGCTAAATAACTTAATGAAAAGAAACGCGCAGCTTAAATGGAATTGGCAAAAAAAAAAACATCTCAATGGTGAAAAATGACCGGCGCATTGCTTTCATTTGTCACTACACCGAGCGAGCAACGTCGCTCCCCGACTGTGAAACTGCAGCAGAGACTGCGCCTTCGCGATAGCCGTGCGCAAAACGTGCCCGATACGTTGTTATTATTAAGCCAATAGTTGGATGCTTGTCGTGGGAATTTTCATCGTACTCGGTGGGAGAGGAGCACCGGTGCTGACGGGAGGAACCATGAACCGTCGGGATTTGACCGTAACATGTCTACAAACCTTCGACGGTAAAAAAAAATAATATATTGGAAACAAATTCGCCAATCACACCGTGACCTTAAAAGCAAAAGTATATGATCGGTGAAGTTTTGGGCAATGGCTCTTCATCACAGAATCCCCCGATGAGCACGGTTGGCTACGTCAGGGTGCGGAAGAAGCCCCACGTTTACACGTACAGCACATGGAGAAGCCGGAGAGGCTATGTTGGTGCACCACCGCTAGACGGCAGCACTGATCACGTGGTGGAGGGCAACGCAAAGGATGTTTAGGGTCACTCATGGAATGTAATTTCGGTAAGGATTGAAGGTAAGAAAATCTATTTGCCCTTTCATTGGACAAGGCGGGTATTCGCACTCCCGCGTCTCCGCGCTCCCCTCCTCGCGCGTCTGCGTCGTCCCGCGCTCACCAGCGAGCGTCTCTCTCCCCGGGGCAGAGTCGCGCGTGCCTGAGCAGCCGAGCTCGCTGCACGTGCGCCCGCTCACGACGAACATCGTGGTGAGCTGGACCCCGCCGGCCGGCAGCGACGTCATGGTGCGCGGCTACTTCATCGGCTACGGCGTGGGCAGCCCCTACGCCGACACGGTGCGCGTGGATGCCAAGCAGCGCTACTTCACCATCGAGGGACTCGGTACGGGGCTCGCTCCGCACCCTTCTTGCTGCGACGCGTAGGCCTGTTGAGGGTGAAACGGATACCAATAGCAGAGAGATGTCGATAAATCGCTCTTGTAACTGACAGCACAACGAGAACATCGTGCCACAGCGGCGCCATATTGTTGCAACCGGCGATATCAGAACAGCTCTCCGATGGATTTTCGGGTTGTACCGCGCGTCGCTTGCCGTTGTCCATGAGGCTCCTGAATAAGCCCCCAGCGTCCGGAGCGAAACTTCGGACGTCGTGCCGGGATTTTTTGTTCGGGAACGCGTGTCAGAGCGCTGTGACCTGTGGCTCAGTTTGCAGGGCGAGGTGCAGGCTCAGCGTGGGCCCCACTCCGCTTGACCTCTCCCCCACCCCCCTTGTGTGCCCGGCCATGCGGTCACAGAGCCCAACCACCAGTACGTGATCTCCCTGAGGGCCTTCAACAACATGGGCCAGGGAGTGCCTCTCTACGAGAGTGCCACCACCCGCTCCATCACGGGTACGCGCGCTCGCCCCTCGCAGATACTCACAGATTTACTCACTCACAGATATACTAATTTACAGATACACTCACTCACAGATACACTTATTTACAGATACACTCACTCATAGGTACACTCACTCACAGATATACTCACTCACAGATATACTCATTTACAGATACACTCACTCATAGGTACACTCACTCACAGATACACTTATTTACAGATACACTCACTCATAGGTACACTCACTCACAGATTTACTCACTCACAGATATACTCATTTACAGATACACTCACTCATAGGTACACTCACTCACAGATTTACTCACTCACAGATATACTCATTTGCAGATACACTCACTCATAGGTATACTCACTCACAGATACACTTATTTACAGATACACTCACTCATAGGTATACTAACTCATAGGTATACTAACTCACAGATACTCACTCATAGGTACACTCATAGGTACACTCACTCACAGATACACTCACATACAGTGACACTCACTTGTGTGTATGTATGTATGTTGTACTTCTTTTGCACCATACATAGCCAACGGTGCTAATCAGATACACTCACTCATTCACTCACTCACAGCAATACCTACTCACTCCATGGTACCCTAGAAGGCCGCACAGCAAAGTGTAGATTAATCTCCATCTGTCGCTTCTGTCTGTCGCCGCCTCGCACGTGTAGGTTTATGTTCCGGGTGCTCCAGTTTCCTTCCACATTCATAAACAGTCGTCATCAATAATTGGCTCAAAATATATTTGTTTTCAACTTTTCTTAAATTTGTATTGTTCAAGAACGTACAAAATATCGGCGAGGGAAACGCAGGTCACGAACCCGTCACATTTCGGGGGGCGAAACCGCCCCCCCCCTTTCAGAAAGGGGACTTGCTTGAAGCACTTGGGGCTCCGCGCAGTACGACCATCGTCGTGATGACGAGTGGCAGGGGGAGGGAAGGGGAGGCTAATAACACCTTAATCTCTGCGCCTCCGTGTGTGGCGGATTGTGCATTGTTGTGTGATTGTGAATGTTGTTGTAACTGTTCTAACCCGCGCTGCTGCGCCAAGCTGTGAACTGTTGAACTGCACACGTGACTAACTGTGACTTCTCTCTTTTTTCATGTTAACATTTTTTCGTTTGCCATCTTTACGCCCCTCGCTGTGCCTTGTCGCCTTGTCCGTGGGTTTTTTTGTTTACGTTTTCATCCATCATGGTGCGATCTGAATCGCCATCTGTCCCACGCGGGCGTACGTACACGTCTCCACGGGGCGGCCCCGCTCCGCGTCGCGCTGCCTCCGTGCACTGCGCGCCTCTCAACCCCTGCCGTGACCGCCCTGCACGCACCCTGCACGCACCCTGCACGCACCCTGCACGCACCCTGCACGCACCCTGCACACACCTGCACGCACCCTGCACGCACCCTGCACGCACCTGCACACACCTGCACACACCTGCACACACCTGCACGCACCCTGCACGCACCCTGCACACACCCTGCACACACCCTGCACACACCTGCACAAACCCTGCACACACCTGCACACACCATGCACACACCCTGCACACACCCTGCACACACCATGCACACACCTGCACACACCCTCCACACACCCTGCAAACACCTGTACACACCCTGCACACACCCTGCACACACCTGCACACACCATGCACACACCCTGCACACACCCTGCACACACCATGCACACACCTGCACACACCCTCCACACACACCTGCACACACCATGCACACACCCTGTACACACCCTGCACACACCCTGCACACACCCTGCACACACCATGCACACACCCTGTACACACCATGCACACACCCTGTACACACCCTGCACACACCCTGCACACACCTGCACGCACCCTGCACACACCTGCACGCACGCGCCCGTCCGCCGCCCGTGTTGGCCGCTCGCATTCCCGCTGCTGCGTCTCCCCTGTCCGCCCCTCGTCCGCCCCTCGTCCGCACCTCGTCCGCACCGCGTCACTCCGTGGCCTCCTCCTCCCCCCACCCCCCGCACGAACCCCGCGTGGTCGCCGCCACGTGGCCTCCCTCTGGCCCCACCTCCGTCCGTCCTGTTCCCGCCTCTCCGCCCGCTCGTCTGTTCCGTGCGGCGCCCGCCCCCCCCCGCCCCCCCCCGCCCCCCCCCGCCCCCCCCGCCCCCCCCGCCCCCCCCGCTGCCCCCCGCCGCTCTCCGCCGCTCAGACTCGATGGACCCCTCGGAGCCCGACCCGTTTGACCTTTTCTCGGACGCTTTCACGGCAGTCCCCGAGCCGCCCACGCCCATGCTGCCCCCCGTGGGCGTCCAAGCGCTGGTGCTGGGGCCCGACACGATCCGCATCACCTGGGCCGACAACTCCCTCCCCAAGAACCAGCGCATCCCGGACGCGCGCTACTACACCGCGCGCTGGAAGACGTACTTCACCAACAACGCCAAGTACAAGGTGGGCGGGTGACCTCTCCTGCGCCCGGAGTTCGGGTTCGGTTTCCTCCCCATTCGTGGTCCTGTTAATGCAGAGGCGTTGGCTCGAGAGTCGGTGATTACGTTCAAATCTGAAGGAAAGTATTCTTTCCTTCACGTGTTTTTTTTTTTTTCCCCGCGTGCAATCCTCTCGGCGGCTATGTTGCTGGACTGTTTGTGCTCCACCTCCTGGTGAAATGTTAAGCACCTCGCCTGATCTACAGGAGGTCGTGGGTTCAATCTCGAATCTGACACCTGCTGCTGCTGCTGTATATTTGGAGTTTGCGGTGTCTCTCTCCCCTTGCTCGCGTGGACTTTCCTCCGGGTCCTCCGTTTATTCCCTCCACGTTTAGAATCAACGTCACGCGTTTAGAGGATTTGGCCGCTGTCCATTTCCACATGATGGATAAGCCACTCTGTTGAGCTGTCGTTTGTGATAGCCATGTCGCTTTTGAAAAAGAGCTACGAACGGGCTGCCTCCCACCATCGTCCCCTCCCTGCCACCCCTTCACCTCCGGTCCCCTCCCACGCTGCGCCGCGCCGTCCGCTCGCACACGCTCTGCGATTCCCCCCCTGCCGGGAACATAGAAAGCGTCAATATTTCTGACAATGTGATGACGGCCTGTGTGTGTGTGCGTGTGCATGCGCGTGTGTGTTTGTTTGTGTGTGCGCGTGAGGAGCGGTCGGGTAGCAGTTAGCGCACTGCGCTACAAACATGGCAGCCCAAGCTCGATTCCCGTTCATGGCCAACACAACGGTTATCTGAACTGGTCCTGGGCCTCCCCTAGATCGACTCAGCCTCAAATGAGTACCTGGTGCGATGTGCAAACATCGCCACTGGGGAGACAAAGGCGGCCGGGCGTGGTGTCGGCCACCCACCCCCTCGTGTGCCGTGTCGGCCTTCATAGGTGCTACTCGCTAACAGCACTCGCCCCAACATTCTGCGAAGGCTACACGGGGGATCTTTGTCTTTGTGTGCGTGCTGCCGCCGCAGATGGCAAACTCGACGACGCTGAGCTACCTGGTGACGGGGCTGAAGGCGAGCACGCTCTACGAGTTCTCCGTGATGGTGACGCGCGGACGCAGGTCCAGCACCTGGAGCATGACTGCGCAGAGCACCACCCTGGAGGCCGGTACGTCGCACCGAGGAATCCGGTCGCAACCAGGGGGCGGGGGCGGGGGGGGCGGCCGGGGAGGGGCGGCCGCGAGGGGCGAGCGCGCTCACCTCCCATACGAAATGTAGCCGTCCTTTCTTTTTGTTTGTCTGCCAGTGCCCACGTCCGCACCGAAGGATCTCACCATCATCAGCAAGGAAGGGAAGCCGCGCATCGTCATCGTGAACTGGCAGCCTCCGTCTGAAGCCAACGGCAAAATCACAGGTGAGCCCGGCAACACGCCGCACGGCTGGAACTTCCGACAGCGCCCCCCCGGGGCGAGACGGGCCCGGGTGAGAGACGCTGCTCTCTCGGCGAGTCCTCTGCCGAGTCCCCGTGCGGCGGCGAGTCCCAGGGCACAGGACGGAGGGAAATTGTAGTCGCGGTGCGGGGCTCGGCTCGGGCCCGTCGACCCTCATGGGTCGGCACGGTCGCCGTGTTAACGAGCGGACGCTGTGAATTGGGACAGCGACGCGCTGGCCCTGGCGAGCGTGGTGTGACGGGGCTATATTATATAATACCGTTACATGTGTGCAATGGGGATATGATACAAACTGCTGACTTGCTGCTCATTGGCACCCGAATCTGAAGGGATTTGAACCTCTCCACCTCCCCCCACCGGTTTGTGGTGGGGAGCGTCCGGCTATGGCTCCGCGTGGCCGGACGAAGGCAACGTCCACGGTCACGTGGGGGCCACCGTTGTTGGGGACCCCGGGGGGGGGGGGGGGTGGGCGGAGTCTACCGCTGACCGTGTCCATCCCCCCTCCCCACGCGTTGCAGGCTACATCATCTACTACACGACTGACAAGTCCGCGGAGCTGCACGACTGGGTGATCGAGCCCGTGGTGGGCGACCGCCTCTCGCACCAGGTGCAGGAGCTCACGCTCGACACGCTCTACTTCTTCAAGATCCAGGCGCGCAACTCCAAGGGCATGGGCCCCATGAGCGAGCCGGTCACCTTCCGCACGCCGCGAGGTCAGCAGCGGCCGCCGTGCTCTTCTCTATCGCACGCACGTCGTGACTCCTACTGGCCTCCAAGCTTCTTCTCGGCGCCCCGCTGCTTTAATGCAGCCGGGCTGGGGGCCCAAGGGTCACATCTGGGGTGACGGGAGGGCGGCTACGAGCGCAGCGTCTGCCGTGGACCCCGACAATGCGCACCGGGGGGGGGGGGGGGGCGCCGACGATTCGACGTTGGCCGGAGGGATGCGGCGGTGCGCGTTTCTCGTTTTGAAGCGGGGGCTTGGGGGGTTGGGGGTCCCGGGAGAGGGAGGGGAATCTCCCTGGCGGATTTGCCGTGTTTTGATTCCGCGTGAGCAGCGTGGGTTTCTGCGCTGTCCCGAATCTGTAAATGACGACAGAGCCGTCATTTGCAAGGTTTGAGAGACGCGCGGATGGCCGAGCGCCTCTCTCAAACCCTCGATGTCACCGGTGCCGGCGGTGAGGACCTGATGCTTCTGGGCTCTGCTGGTGTCGTTTGCTTGCCACCCCACCTCCCCCCACTTCGCCCCCCCCCCCCCACCTGCCCGCCCCCCCGCCTCCCCCTCAGCCCCCCCAGCCCCGCAGCTTGAGGGCACTGTGTTAACACGGAGACTTGCTTCATTTTAACACGGTGACATCGTCTCTCTCTCTCTCGCCCCCTCCCCTCTCGCTCCCCCTGCTCTGCCACACCTGCGTGTACCCCGGACGCCCCCCCCCCCCCGCCCACCCTCCCCTCCCCCCTCGACCTGCTGCCCCCTCCTCCCCCCCCCCCCCGGGATGTCCCTGCTGATAGCACCAGCTTCTGGCAGGGGCGCTCCAGGCAGTGGCATCGCTTGGGCTGGGAGCCCCAGTCTCCTAAACCGTGCCACTTATAATGGTAAACTCGCTTCTTCTCCTCTCCTCTGCGCACAAAACCCGCGGTACCGTCGCGCCGTCGCGATCGTGCGCGCGCCGTGCGAGCGATGCATTTGAGTCGGTGTGCCGTGCGTGTCGCTGTGCGCGTGTTTCTGTGTGTTGGGGAGCGGTGGTGCAGCGGTTAGCGCGCTGCGCGGTCAACCCCGAGGACCCGAGTACGATGCCCGCCCACGGGCAATATCTGAACCGGTACTGGGCCCTCCCTTGGGTCGACTCAGCCTCAAATGAGTACCTGGTGCGGTGTGTAAACATCGCCACTGGGGGAGACAAAGGCGGCCGTGCGTGGTGCTGGCCACGCACCCCCTCGTGTGCCGTGCCGGCCTTCGTGGGTGCTACCCGCGAACACAGCACTTGCCCCAACAGTCTGTTGAGGCCGGTCATGGAGACGCTGCGCCACGCGTCGTGTCCATCGCTCCCGGCCACGGGCGCAAGCGAGAGTTCTCATGCCCCCCCCCCCCGCCCCTCCCGCTCCCCCGCCCCGCAGACGGCCCCACGGGGCAGCAGCACCCCCTGCAGAGCAGCCGCGGCTCGGCGCTGGACAGCAACAACAACCTCCTCCTCGTCATTGTCATCGTGACGGTGGGCGGCCTCACCGTCATCTGCGCCATCGTCGTGGCCGTGGTGTGCACGCGCCGCTCGGCCGCCGCCGTCAAGAGGTGAGGGCCCCCCCCCGGCCCAACGCGCTCACGGCTACAGCCAGGGCCTCGTGCTCGCCCTCCACCTCGTCATCATCACTCTCCCTTCTTCCCAGCATAACCACGGCTCCAGTCAGACCCTCCCTCTCCCTCCCTCCCACCCCCCTCCTCCTCCTCCCCCCCATCTTCCCACCCCCCCTCCTCCCTCTGCCTTCTTCTGGGCAATCACTGAGCCCTTATTGGATCTGTCTGGCTCTTACTGTCTAACCACCTTGCTCTGATTTGAATCTACCTTGCCCCTGTACGGTCCACGTAGCCTCCACATTTTACCGTTAACGTGGAGAGGGGAGGGAATGCCTCGAGGCGAGAGTCGTCCATCCCAAGCCGCACCGTGTCCGCGGTGCCTAACGACGTCACGCGACGCCCCCCCCCCCCTCCGCCTCTACAGCAAGCGAGCCGCGCCAAAGTCTCCAAACGGTGTGGGCAAGCGCAAGGGCAGTCCCAAGGACCTGAAGCCTCCGGACCTGTGGATCCACCACGAGACCGTGGCTCTCAAGCCGCTCGACAAGGCCCAGGGCCCGGGCGCCGGCGGGGGCCCCGTCGGCGGCGGGCCCGGCGGCGGTGGGCCGGGCCCCTCCGGCCCGTCCGGCCCATCGGGCCCGGCCGGCCCGCACGCGGCTCCGCAGGGGGGCGGCGGGCCGGACGTGGAAGGCGGCGACGCCTTCACCAACCACCGGAGGGGCTCCTACTCAGGTGCGGTAGCCGCCCCCCGACGGGGCCCGGCCTCCTGCGAGCGCCGTGGCCGGTCGCACACGACGTCGGTGGGGGAGGCGGTCGAGTGGATGGCGGGGAGGGGCCCCGGTGTATTTGTTGGTTAGCCGGTTAGCCGCGCGTAGCCGGAGGGGAACCCTCACCGAGTCGGGGCTCCGGAGCCCTCGTCAAAGTCGTTTGGCGCTGACGATTGGTTTTGTATTCGGGTCTGCTCTTCTTTGTATTTTGCGGTTGACACACACCCGCAGTATTAGCCACGGCCGGCCCGTGAGATTAAAACCGCAAACCGCTGCAATTAATGCTGAGGAACAATCAGCGTGGACCGGTGAGGTCCCTGGTTTAAATGAGGAGCCTCCACTAACAAGAATAATGATGGGACCAGGTTCTCACGTGGATGGTCTCACGGAAAGAGTTCCTTCCGAGAGCTTCACGCACTTTCAGGGGCTAGCACGTTCGAAGGCCCGGAGGGCGGCACCGCGGGTCTTATTTTGGTAACGCGGCGCGGCCAAAGAATGCGCTTCGTCTTGAGCACGGGCGGAGCTTTGTCCTGCCGCCCCATTAGCGAGCGTCGTGGGTCGCACGCAGCGGCCGCACGGCGAGCTCCGTCTTACGGAGAGGCTGTCCAGAGGCGCGGCGTGGGTCACCGCGGTCACATGGCACGCGGCCGCGCGTGTCGCTGCGCGACACGCACGCTGATGACGGCGGCCGTAGCGAGGGTCTCCGGCTAGCGACGGGGTTCCCGAGTAACCGCGCGTGCGCGCGGGCGGGCACGACCTCGAGGCGCCGGTCCGCCCGGAAGCGGAGGCGGTGGAGGCGGTGGAGGCGGTGGCGGCCCCGGCTGAGGGCGGCGCGTGTTGTGCCCCTCGCGCAGGCAAGCGAGGCGAGGACGGCATCTCGTCGTCTCTGGAACGCTCGATAGCGGCGCGCCAAGCCATGCGCCTCAAACTGGCCGTGCCCTCCGAGCACAAACACACGGCGCGTACGTACTCCCACACCGCCGCTCTCCTTGCCATCCCATCGTCGCGAGCACCTTTGTGTTTCTGATTTTATTTTTTATCACGTCGATGTTTGGTTTTATTAATATGTGTGTTTTCCTGCTCTCTCTCTCTCTCCCCACCCCCTGTCCCTCGCCCCCTTCCCTCTGTGCATCTCATTCTGTCTCTGCGGATGTTTTTCTGTTTTTAATTTTAATTTTATCCATACTTCACCGCCACCCTTTTCAAACCACAAAATCTTTCAACGCCCACTTCTTCAAATACGTACAAATACCGTGCATTATTTTACCAATAACGCCCCTTTCGAAAATTGGTTGCCTACTACCCGACCGTTCAAATTGACCCAACTTGATAACCCCTCACAGCGCACCACCACCACCAACAGCAGCACCACCACCACCACCACCACGCGCATCTCGGCCACTCGGCCGCGCTGCTTCCGAGCCCGGCCCCTCCCCCCGTGCCGTCCCCCCCGGCGTCCCCCTTGCGCCACCACTACCCCCCCTGCCAGCCGCCGCACTACGGCGCTCACTACCCGGGCTCCCCCCCCGGGGCCCCGCAGGAGCGTGGGAGTCGCCTCGTCGGTGAGGCCTTCCTCAGCGAGGGCGCGGCGCACGCGAGTGTTGTTGTCGTGTTTGTGTTGTTGTTGTCGTCGTGTTTGTGTGTCGTGGTTGTCGTGTTTGTGTGTGTTGTGTGTTGCATTCCGTGCATGCTATGAAGCATGCAGAGGCCGCTAACCAGGGCAGCGCTGTGATTCTCGTGGTGGTGCTGCGTGTTAAGTTTTTTGTTGTGGTGCACGGGGAGCGGTGGTGTTGCGATTAGCGCGCTGCACTACGGACCCGGCGACCAGAGTTCGATTCCCGCTCACGGCCAACACCAGTGACGATTATCTGAACCGGTCCCGGGCCTCTAGGTTGACTCAAATGAGTACCTAGTGCGGTGTGTAAAATCATCACCACTGGGGAGACAAAGGCGGTCGGGTATCCTGCTGGCCATCTTTACCCCTCTTGTGTACCGTGCCAGCCTTCATCGGTGCGTCCAGAGAACAGCACTTGCCCCAACAGTTTGTTAAGGCTATACGGGGATACGGGGGATCTTTGTGTTGTGGTGTATGCGTGGTACATGAGGGTGGTTACCTTAAGATGGAAAATCTGCAAAAGGCTTTGTGTTGTCTTCCCTTATTTCCCGTTATGTGTATAGAGGTCACTTTGAGCAATCGACCATTCCATTTCACAGAGGTGTGTTTCGGCCAACTGTCAGCATTAATGTAACTTTAATTACCAAATGCATCAGTGCCCGTGTACACAAAATGATCTTAAGATTTGTCGTGAATCCAGAAGGCTGCTTGTTGTAGCGCGATCACGAATGTGCCGTAGGAGAAAGCTGATCGTGAGTCAAAGTGAAGAAGTGTCAAAGCGAGATTGTGACTCTTACGCGCATAAGGGCGGTTGCTCGGTGAAACGTCATCATAGCTCCCGCTGCCAGTAGGAGACAAACATGGCCAGCATGACATCATAAGCCAGTTGGTGGCCGAGGTTGATGCTCTTAATGTTATTTATGTTGATGATAGTGTTGTTACTTGTGGTGACTTCAAGAGGCCCTCACCACTCACGTTTCTCGTGGCTTCACGGACGCGCTCCATATAGCTCCCTTATTTGCTTGGAATTACGGTGAAACTTATCGTAAATTGGACTTGCAACATCGCTACGGCCTCGGCTTTGGCTTCGAATCGGTACAATACAAATGTACCGTACAGTGCTGCGGAGGTGATTAGAGTCTTGTAAATACCGTTTTACTAAGAGACCTCGATGAAAGCGTCGGCAAAATTGCTTTCAAATATCCCTAGGAAAGTCAATTGAGATTCGTGAATCCACAACAAACCTGGTTTTTTTCTTTGCTAAATCTCACAAAAGCTAGGAGGCCGGATGTGTGCCGGGTAGAGGGTGGGAAAACGGCGCCTCTGGCCTTGATGGTCGCTACATTCGACGTTCGCTTATCTTGCCGCTGCTTGCAGCTCGGCGATATCCAGCCAGGATCGACCGATTCTCACCGCTGCATCACTAAAGCAACCTGTGTGTAGGCAGCAGTGTGGATCTGGCGTGCAAACCGTGTGGGAAACTCTTATTTGTTTTTTTTCTTGCCTTCACTATTCCCCCACGTTGTAATTTGTGTTTTTGGGCGGCAGGGTAGCGCAGTGGTAACACTTCGTGCCTCGCAGCAGGAAAGAGCCTCGGTTCGATGCCCAACTCGGGCGCCTTTCCGTGTGCAGTTTGTGTTCTCAAACTGCACACCGGCGTTTCCTGCGGGTTTTCCGATTTTCCGTCCCTTCAGCTACAAACACCACACCACGTGACCTGGTGTAGGCCCAAACATTCCCAATGCTGAAACATTAATCCATCGGGATCGCAAACTTGGCAGGAATAAAAGAGTAACGAGGCTCAGGGAGGCTTTTCCCGAGCAAACGAGCGGAATAACAGCAACGATATTAGTCGGCGCCCGGGAAGCCACCGATAATCCTAAGTGAGTTTGCATCGTTTGAGTCCGACGCAGCGGGCGGTGCTAACCAACACGAGTCTGCTCTCCTGACGTACGCCCGTCGCCCCCCCCCCCCCCCTCCCGCGTGTGGCCCCCCTCGGCGCGAGCAGAGATCGTGGGAGTGGACGTGGAGGAGCTGCGGAGCGGGGGGCTGCCCCCCCTCCCGCCGGCGGGGGAGGGCCCGTCGAGCGGAGAGTATGAGGAGCCGCGGCCCGTCGTGCCCACGGCACACGTGCGGCCCACACAGCCCCTGCGCAGCTTCGCGGTGCCCCTCGTGTCGGCCCACGGGGGGCTGCGCCCCTCCGACAGCCCCCTCCTGTCCCACCACGCAGGTGGACACAGCCCTCTCGTGTCCCACCACGCAGGTGAGACACGGCCCACCCCCACTCCTGTCCCACCACGCAGGTGGACACAGCCCTCTCGTGTCCCACCACGCAGGTGAGACACGGCCCCCTCTCGTGTCCCAACACACAGGTGAGACACGGCCCCCACTCCTGTCCCTCCACACAGGTGAGACACGGCCCCCACTCCTGTCCCACCACACAGGTGAGACACGGCCCCCACTCCTGTCCCTCCACGCAGGTGAGACACGGCCCCCACTCCTGTCCCACCACACAGGTGAGACACGGCCCCCACTCCTGTCCCTCCACACAGGTGAGACACGGCCCACCCCCACTCCTGTCCCACCACACAGGTGAGACACGCCCCCCTCTCCTGTCCCTCCACACAGGTGAGACACGACCCCCACTCCTGTCCCTTCACACAGGTGAGACACGGCCCCCTCTCCTGTCCCTCCACACAGGTGAGACACGGCCCACCCCCACTCCTGTCCCACCACACAGGTGAGACACGCCCCCCTCTCCTGTCCCTCCACACAGGTGAGACACGACCCCCACTCCTGTCCCTTCACACAGGTGAGACACGGCCCCCTCTCCTGTCCCTCCACACAGGTGAGACACGGCCCCCACTCCTGTCCCTCCACACAGGTGAGACACGGCCCCCTCTCCTGTCCCTCCACACAGGTGAGACACGGCCTACCCCCACTCCTGTCCCTCCACACAGGTGAGACACGGCCCGCTCCCGTCACCTGCTGGGAGCCATTCACCGAGTCGACGTAGTTCTCTGCCCGCTGTGAGGATCTCAGACTCGTCCCTGGTGGTGTCACTCGGTCGGGTCCTGTGCCTGAACCAGGCCCTCTGCCACTGCCAGTCTCTGCCAGAGTGGTCTCGCTCCAGGAACGCAACTCATTTCTGAAAATAAAGAAACAACTGCTGTTTGTGCTAAAATTGTTGCCGTAACGTTCTGACCCGCCCCTACTGGACATCCGTGAAAAAGAGCTTTATAGCTCATCGGATTCCTCCAGTATAAGTGACCTCCTGCACATTGGCAGTGGAGTTCCACGTTAAATGTCATTTTGTACACCCGTATATATAAAATCTACGCATCCCAAGGGTGTTGCATTGAGCTGCGATCGATCCGCGTGCGGAGAGCGCTCCGCTCCGAGCCCCGAACGCCGAGAGCCGTGATCAGCGACGCGTTCCCCGTCGTTGCAGGGAGCGGCTCGCCGAAGGTGGCGACGCTCGGAACCCTGGGACGGCTGCGCGTGCCGCTGCCCGTGATCCTGCCCAGCGCCCCGGACTCGTCGGCCCACGACTCGCAGACCTTCGAGGACTCGGACAGCGTGAGTTCCCGCGCGCCGCCTCCCCCGAAGAGCGTCGTTTTCGCCGCTCTCATTTTTTTTGCTCTTGCGGCCGCCCTCTGCTTCGCCGCCGCTTCGCCGCCGCTTCGCCGCCGCCCGCTTTTGTCGTCCGCTTCGCGACGCGGGCCGCTCGTCCCGTACGGCCGCGCTGTTGGCACCGCCGTCGAGTGGCGTTCGTTTGCCCCGCTCGGCGTGCGCGTGACGGGCAGGTTCCGCGTGCGCGTTTCGTTTCGGCATACGCTGCCGCTGATCCCCAGCGCTGACCCTGAGCAGATGACCCCCGCGTAAACCACTCGCGCGTCCGGAGAAACCCCATCGTGGGTGGGGGGGTTGGGGGCGAGTGCGGGGGATACATCTGTCGTGGTGGCAACACGCCTGATCGTACAGATCTCGGGGCGCCACGGTGGTGAAATGTTAACTACCTCGCCTGGTATACAGGAGTGCATGGGTTCGCTCCCAACCCTAATGCCTGCTGTATATTTGGAGTGTGCGTGTCTGTCTCCCCGTGGTCGCGTGGGTTTTTCCCCGGGTCCTCCGGTTTTTCCCTCCACATTTAGAATCGACGTCACGCGTTTAGATCAATTGGCTGCCACTTCGTTGAGCTATCACTTGCGGCACGCGTCGCTTTTGAAAAAGCGGACCTTACCTGGTGAAATAAAATTAAAGCAATTGTGACATCCTCCAACGGCGGTTAAACCTTGTGGTCGTACGGCAGCTTTTGCCGTGCCGTCGCTCGCTCCGGACCGTGAACTCTCGCGGGGTCTCAGTTTGCGTTGAAGCAAACTTTTGCAGGGGATGTTTCCTGCGTACGACCATTCATGTGGTGAGAGCGTTCGGGAGCTGAGCCGCGGTGAACATTGCCCTGGAGAGAGGTGCGGGAGGGGGAGAGTCCGTGGGTCACCGCTGCTGTTCGCCCTGAGCATTTGCAGGCCGAGTTGGAAGTGGACACCCGTTCGCATGCGGCTCAGAATCTCAATCTTTATTTATACTGGAGGAATCCGATGGGCTAAAAAGCATTTTTTTCACAGTTGTCCAGGAGGGGCGGGTCAGAAAGTTACAACAACAAACAGTACGGAAATACGATAGGAGTGCAAAGTATAGGAAAGGTAAGGAAATCACTAAATATATCTATGTTTATTTTACCAAGTAAAGCCCACTGAGCTCTTAGCTTCTATATCAGAAGCGACCTGGCCACAAATGATAGCGCAACGAAGTGGCTTATTGTCATGTGTGGAAATTTATAGCAGCCAAATAATCTGACTGCAGCAGACAAGTGGACATTACAGGATGACTTCATCCACCAGTAGATTGACAAAGGGCTATAGATACGTTTAACACTGGCTTTCGCGACCAATATCATCCATAATATAGGGTTTTCTTTTGGGTTAGATCATGTAAATATTGGATTATAAAAGCAAAACATTCCATGAGAATGATTGGCAGTCCTTTTGTCAGTCCGTTGGTGGATAAAGGTCTCCCCATGCCATGTCAGTGACATGGGCTGCTTGACCATGCTTCACCACGCTGGTCAGTGAAGATTGGTAAAGTGTCAGGGCTGGGTCATGGCCGGTTCAGATATCAGCACTGCAGCGAGCCACGACTTGGAATCAAACTCGGCTCACGGGGGGGGGGGGGGGAGGTCCATTGCGCAGTGTGCTAACCGCGGCACCACAACTCCGTCCCTGGGAATGGTTTATACAGTAGTAGTGAATGGTTGCCAAGAAATGAAATTTTCATCAGTTAGAAAACGAATGTCCCAGCTTTGCCGTCTCTTGGAAGGTTTGGTAATGCGTCAGCACGCAGGCGTTTTTTGTCGTTGAACTAAATCTTTTTATGCCGCTTTGCGCACTGCTTGTTGTGGACTGAGCTGCCCCCATCATCTCCCCCGCTGCTCCTCATCCTCCTGCTGCTGCTGCTGCTTCTGCTGCTGCTGCTCACGCCCCTGCACGCTTCGCTCCTGCTTCTGGCACTCTCTCTCCTGCTTCTGCACCCCTCCGCTCCTGCTTTTGGCGCTCGCTCCTGCGCCGTGTGAACTCGAGCGTCGTCCCCCCCACTTGATAATAATCAAAGTTTCTTGTGGTAATAAAACTGTTACGATCCACGAACCTGTGCAGTGGAGGCTGCATGTTCTAACCATGTTCTCTTGTCTCTCTTGTCTCTCTCTCTTCACATTGTTTACCTATTTTTTTATTTTTGTCAATCCGACATTTATTTAACGTCCTTTTTTCCATGCCCCCTTTTGTCTGTCTCACTCTCTTCCCTGTGACTCTGTCTCTCTCTCTCTCTGTCTCTCGCTGTTGCTGCCAATGACGATAGCCGGCTTGGTGAGTCACATTGCTCGAACCAGTCGCCCGTTTCTCCCGACGGCAGCGAATCGGCATTGCCATGAGACCCGTAAACCGCCTCACGCTGTGGCTTTGGTGGCGATCCTCCTTCCTTGCAGACCTACGGGCACGACGACAACGACGACGACGACGACGACGAAGACGACCTCAGCGCTGAGATGGCGAACCTTGAGGGCCTCATGAAAGACCTCAACGCCATAACCTCCGCGGGAATCTGACCCATTTCTTTACAAATGGATCTCTGGGCGAGCGAACGACAGTCGCGTTTATAGTTCACGTTGCACGTCGTTCTGGCGGTGTTTTTCATAGCTCTGGGAATCATAAAGCAAGCCGCCGCTCTCCAGGAGATCTTGAAAACTCGGGAAATCGCGTCGCTCTGCAAGATGTTCACGACGCCGACAAGCATGTAGCGCGCGCGACGGAGCAGCGTCTTCAGAGAGATCCTTCGAGACGCCTTCCGTCCCTGCTGGGGGGTGGGGTGGGGTGGGGTGGGGGGCACGCGGGCGATCGGCCACGGAGGAGGAAGTGGAGCTGCGGTGGAGCGCCGACGGAGGAGGGAGCCGAAGCGGGGCCCTGGAGCTCACGTCCGATCTCCTGCCCCGGCTGCCCCCGGGAGGCAAGCCCAAGCGATGGCAAATCGGGAATCATGCCGTGAACTTTCTTTATACGTCGGAGGACATTTTATAAATAGGTGTTTTGCTTCCTACTCAAGCCCCGTTTATACTTGTACTTTTATTTTTAAAGCTTGTAGATAGCAGTTGTTGTTGTTTTTTTTTATAAATTGTTAAATGTACATAATTATTAAGTGGGTGTTGTTGTTCAATGAGTGCTTTGCTACATTGCATAAAGGCTAACGGTTGGGATTTGCCAGCAGCTTTGGGTGTTACCACCACCTCTGACGTTGCGCCTGTACCGCCGGGGCATGTACAAAGCCATACCGTGAGGTCCGCCGTGATTGTGTTCCCAATATCGCCGTGCGTGTGTTGTGGTTTTTTATACGCAGTGAAACGGATTTTTGATATGAAATATTTCGGTTTTTTTGTTATCATTTTTTTGTTGTAAGTTATACTATGTATAGAATTAGTCTTTACGTAAGTGTTTTAAAATAACTTGTATAAACATGTTTTTTTGTTAAAGGATGTAAAACAACAAAAATTTTGAGAAATGTAATATGCGGTTAAAGGGAGTAACCGCGGGGTGGATTCAATCAAGTCAACAAACATTTGGAAAAATATAATATGCGGTTAAAGGGAGTGACCACGGGGTGGATTAATTCAAACCAACAAACATTTGGAAAAATTCTAGATTTGAAGCTTTCGTGACTGCAAGGATTCATACTCTTTGTTTTTTTTTCGGTAAAGTCACGTAGGTGGATCAATTCAAACAAAACAAACATTTTGAAAAATAAAATATGCGTTTGAAGGGAGTGTGAGCGCACCCCGAGCGTGTTGGGTTCGTGCCGCCCTGCCGTGCCATGCGCGCCACGCCGGGAGTCGTCACCCACGTGGCCGGTGACGATCTCCAGGCCACGAGCGCGCGGCGGAGACGCAACGCGGAGCGAACCGGTGGGGGGGGGGAGGGGGAGGGTTTGTGCTAAATTAAAAATTTGTGTTTTTTTTGTTTAAAAGTTGCTTTAAAACAAACGTGTTGTCGTGCAAACCGCCCCCACTACACCCCCCCCCCCCCACAAGTCGAAATAAAGAATGAATATGCAATTGTCTTTCCGCAAGAGACGTATGCCGAGGTGTTTTTTTTTCCCCCGGTGTTGGTAAGATGGACCACGAGCGTCGCGCCGTTGTTCTATCACTTTGCTGGGGTTTATTTTTTTTTGCCTCATTCCACTTTTGCTCTTGTCACTGATGAGCCGCCGGGACACACCGTTAGGATGGCCGTATTCAATAGGCACTGGAGGCACCTGTGCCTAGGGCCTCAGAAAACTTAATGGCCTACGAAAAAAGATGTGACCGTGTATTTTTGTTTGCATGATAAACAAAAATATTACCAAGATATTCTTGAATAAATATATTCGTATAGCAAGGATAGCACAGTGTATACACAAAGAGGCAGGGTCATGTCAATCTTTAATTTATTTTTATTAGGTGAGAGAAATTAACACCGGGGAGGAACTTTTCGAGATTTTTGTTCATTGCAAAATTAGCAGGGACATCTTCAAAAACGGTGTTTTTCGCACATTCTCAATAGAGTCGTGCGAGAGAAGACAAAGGCGGAATTGTCCGATGGTTGATCGGGGACAGTTTTAGCTTCGAAAAAGAACGCTCCCCTTCACAATTCGTTCCCAAGATGGCAAGCTACATCCTACAGCAATGTAAACATTCGGAAAGATGCTCATCATCTTATCAGATATTTGGGCTTTGAGCATATCTATATAAGGTAAACTGGGGGAATATGGTAACTCATTTTTATATGCAGTAATTTTTCACAAAAGTTTGTATTTTAGAAAATGTGTTAATTATTTTTGCCGCTTGATTTATTGGCTGCTCGTTGCGATTTCTTTGCAGTGGTAACAAGTCATTGACTAGTTGGAAGTGAGGCATATTTACACCTAAAATAAGAGTCAAATCTTTAACGAAAGTCAAGCAATATGGCGCTCGCCATTCGGTTGTCCCGTCAGAACATTTAATTTGTTATCGATAAAAAATGAACGTCGTCCTTATAAAGCTGCTGCGTCATCTGATATGATAATCATAGTAAAAAATAATCATAGTAAAAAAAAAATAGTTGGAGAAATTTACGCTTGCAATATGTTTTGTCTTACGTTGTTTTTTTTGTAATAATTTCAAATTAAATATGCTTAACTGCGGCACCACAGCGCGCAAAGACCAAATAATGAATGCATCAGTCGCGACATCTGTCCAGCGGCTGGACGAAGCCCGCATAAAACAAGCGGAGTGACAGCGACGGTAGTCGTGGCGTGGGGCAGCAGCAGCAGTACCAACTTGTAGAAACATTATCACTGACGGCCTCCGAAACAGAAGTGCCTAGGGACTACAATAACCTGAATCCGGCCCTGAGGGTGAAGGCGTTAATGAATCGTACACACGACACAAATTACAACCGGCATAGACGCAGCTGCCGGGGGAAAAGAAAGCATTTTTAAACAACTTACATTGTGGCCTAATGAACATGGAAAAGGGCAGAGGCTGAAACTGCACAGAGGAGTTTGCATCCAAGGGATTTCCAGACAACGGGAGCAGAAGCCGAGAAGGAGCGACCTCCCGTGGGACGGAGGCTGACTTGCCGGACCTTCAGCAATCCGCACCGAGGGCTTCCCCCCCATTCAGTCCAGCCAGCTGAGGTTTTACTGCATCTTCTATTTCGCATTCAAAAGGAACCTATCCAACTTTAGCCATTTCAGCCTCTGGTGAACAGCATTCCAAAGGCATTGCCCTCAAATCAACCGCTTACCACCAACCACCACCAATCCCCAAACATCAACGAACACCGATAAAACTACAGGAGACCTCCATGCAGGGCGGGATTAATGTTCTTGTTGGCCCAAGGCACTTGTGTTTCGTCGGCCTTCAGTGATCACTCTCTACGGTTGGAACTGCCGCCCCATGTTGCTACGACCGCCGCTGCCACTCCGCTTGTTTCACGCGCAGAACAACAACGCCTTTGCCTTCTCTTGCACTACTCTCTGTTGAGATATGAGGTTGTCCGAAAAACACAATTTAAAGATTTTATTTGATAATTTTGCAATGTAAAAATCTCGATAAGTTAAAATCCGGTGTTCATTTCACTCACCTTAGGACAAAAAAAGTCGATTGACATGACTCTGCCTACCTGTATACACACTGCCTATCCTTGCTAAATAAAACATTTATTAAAGAAAATATCTTGGTTTAAAATGTTTTATCATACGTAAACATTTTTTTCGTAGGCCCTCGGCAGAGTGCCCGTTGGACTATACGGCCCTGACTTCGTGTCGATGTGGGGAACTCATTGCATTTTATCATCTGCGGGGGTGGCGAATTAAACAACTCCACTTATCCACGGGAAGAAACATCGCAGCTACTAGAATGAAGCTGTCATGGGGACTCAACTTTGCCTGCAAAAGAAATCACGGGTAAGATGAGTCTCAACTACAGGGGGCCCCTAAAGATATATATTGTCAAAGATCCCTCTTTCTGCAGAGACCTGAATATTCCGCATCTGCAGGAATAGCAGACTCGACCAATGTGTGTGTGTCTATGTGGAGTGTACATATGTTGAACTGTACTCTTTGGTTCTATTCACGTAGGTAATAATAAAACAACAAAAATCATGACGTTTCGGCCACAACACAAGTAGCCTTCATCAGGTGAAGTAACAGGACTGTCCAGAAGACAGCGCTTGAGTGAACCCTGCCAAGCTTGGCAGCGTCTTTTAAGCTGTGTGGGAGGAACAGAGCCGAAACGTCGTGAGAATTTTATTCTGCCCCCCCTCCCTCCCTTGCCACCCTCCCTCCCTCCCCTGCCCCCCCTCCCCTGCCCCCTCCCTCCCCTGCCCCCCTCCTGCCCCCCTCCCTCCCCTGCCCCCCTCCCTCCCCTGCCCCCCCTCCTGCCCCCCCTCCCCTGCCCCCCTCCCTCCCCTGCCCCCCCTCCCCTGCCCCCCCCTCCTCTGCCCCCTCTTTCCCCGCTTCGCCGTGAATCTGCGCCCCGTCACTCGGGCGCGCTGCTTCAGGAAGACCCCGGGGAGCGGGGTGGGAGGGGGGGGCTGCTGAAGGAGATGGGGGGCGGGGCTTAGGGGGGCGAAGAGGGAAGGGGGAGGAGGGGGTGGGGGGGGCAGAAGGGGATGAGGAGGGGAGGAGGAGGATGGAAGAGGGGATGAAGGGAGGAGGGTGAGCGGAATGGAGCAGGGGATGAGGAGGGAACGAGGGGAGGCGGTGGAGGGGGGGTGAGGAGTAGGGGGAGGGGCTGGAGGCTGGAGAGGGGGTTGGGTGGAGCCGTGGGGAGCTGCAGTGATGAGTTGCGGAGTCGGGGGGGGGAGCAGTCTTGTGGAGGGAGCGGGGAATGGTGGGAGATGGAGATGGAGGTGGAGGAGGAGATGGAGATGGAGGTGGAGGAGTAGGAGGTGGAGCGGGGGGTGCAGGGCCCAGATTGCCCGAAGCGTGGCGGTGAAGTCTGAACCCTCACTCGTGGGGCTGCAGTCGCCTCAACCTGCGACTCGTGATCGAACCTGGCCCGCCGTGGTTCGTGGCTCGAGTCTGGTGGCCTCGTCCTGGGTCTGGAGTCTCCAGGCCGGGGGTCGGGGCACGGTTCTTGACTTTGCACTTCCCGGCGGCATCGACGTTGGAGTCCGGATTGTGAATCCGGAGTCTCGGACAACAACAATCAGGGACTGGAGCCGCGATCCTGGGTTGGATGTTTGACTCGGGATGAACTCGAGAGGCGTGAGAATCAACTCCGGGGAGTAGTCGCTCGTGACTCTTGAGGGCGAGCGTCACTTGAGACGCGGCACGAAACGTTGACCCCAAATCTGAGGTACAGTAAATCCTCTCAAAGCCAGACCACAGTGATTTGGGGGGGGGAGGGGGGGGAGGATCCCGGGTTGGATTCCCGACTCATTTGCTTTTCTGCGTAGTGTGTGTATGTGTATGTGTGTATGTGTGTGTGTATGTGTGTGTATTTGTGTGTATGTGTGTATGTGTGTGTATATGTGTGTGTGTATGACGTCTCCTGGCCAAACCCCAATTGGCGGAGCCAGGAGATTGAATATCTACCCTCGAGGCTCCTCCAGAAACAACGAAAAGCCACTACGGGTGGCCACGTGGAATGTTCGAACGCTCACTGCGGAGGAGAGGCTGCCACTCCTCTGTCGGGAGCTGGACCGGTACCGCCTGGATCTCTGTGGCATTCAGGAGGTCCGGTGGACCGGCTCTGGCTCCTGCGACCATGAGGGTGGACAGTCCTCTACTCGGGGGAAGCAGACTGCCAAACAACAGGGTGTGGCTCTTCTTTTGAACAAAAGAATGAAGGGGGCGTGGGAGCGTGGCGGTGAGGTGTGGGAAGCTGTAAGTCCCAGGCTACTTTGGCCTCGCCTTCCCATCAACCGGAGGCGAGGAATGGTGGTCGTGGTTACTTATGCCCCCACCGAAGATGAACATCCGTGGAGGGATGCAGGCAAAGCCGATGAGTCAGATGCCTTCTATGACCTGTCACAGGTGGTGGCTAAAGTGGCCGCTCGGGATAGAGTCATCATGTTAGGTGACTTCAATGCCCGAGTTGGTCATGATACTAGCACCTGGTCTGGAGTGATGGGAGGGCATGGGCCAGATCAGCTCAATAACAACGGTAGAAGGCTGCTAGATTTTTGTGCAGCCCATGGGCTTGTAATTACCAACACGCTGTTCCGGCATCGGCGCATCCACACAACATCATGGATGCATGCCGGGTCCAAGCAAGAACATCTGCTGGACTACATAGTGACGGACCAGCGGATGCGAGCCCATGTCCTTGACACCAGGACCTACCGTGGAGCTGATCTGCCCTCTGACCATCGACTAGTCATCTGTAAGATGCGCATGCCATTCTTCCACTCCGGTGGTGGGTGTACACCCAGGACCCCATTCCAACCTAAAGTGGCCTGGTCTCAGTTATCTGATGAAAGTTGCAAGCGAGAATTTCATCATCGCTTGCCGCTGGGATTGGCATCGTCCCCGACTCCTCCTGATGTCGAGGGTAAATGGGCGAGGTTTAGGACTGTGACTCATGCAGCTGCAATGGCTGCTTTGGGTACGCGGTCCAGACCTCCCCAGAGACCCTGGCTGACAGAGGAGGTGTTCAGGATGGTTGAGAAAAAGCGAAAGGCCCACTGTCATCGGCTACAGAATCCCACGTCAGAGAATCAGGAGGCTTACCGCAGCCTTCGCTCGGAGGTTCGGAGAGCTGTGAGGCGCTGCAAGGATGGGTGGTGGTCGCGGGTTGCTGAGGAGATGGAGTCTGCCTCAGTGGCCCATGATCACAAATCTCTATTTAACTCCATCAAAAAAGTTATCTGCAGCGCCACACCTATTACCATCATTAGGGGAAAAAACGGTGACCCAATCTCCGACCCCCAGGAACAGGTTTGCAGATTTGCTGAGCATTTCTGTGAGGTCCTGGGGGAGGAAAAATCCCTCAGCCAGGAAAACATCGTGGCACAAAGTGAGGATGACCCTGCTGAGGCTGCGGTGCCTCAAATATTGGAAGAAGTCACCCCCTGTGAGTGGCTGGCTGAGGTGCCATCTGTTGAGGAAGTACTCAAGGCGATCCGGAGTCTGAGACCAGGAAAGGCAGCGGGCAGAGATGATCTCCCAAGCGAAATGCTGAGGGAGGGCGGCGTTTGTGCACAGACTGCCCTATATGACATCATAACAACAGTCTGGACCACTGGACGGGTTCCGCAGGATTGGAAGGATGCCCTGGTGGTCCCCCTTTTTAAGAAGGGGGACCACCAGGACCGCACAGACTGTAACAACTACAGGGGCATCTCACTCCTCAGTGTGCCGGGAAAGGTCCTAGCAAGGATTATTCAACATCGCCTTGCCAGGCACGCTGAGGAGAGGCTTGTGGAGCCCCAATGCGGTTTCAGGAAAGGGCGGTCCTGCACAGATGCTATATTTTCTGTCCGTCTGCTACAGCAGAGGTGTAGGGAATTCCAACAAGACCTACATCTCTGCTTTATTGACCTGGTCAAGGCCTATGATACCATCAGTAGGCCTGGGCTCTGGGTTGTTCTTCGTGCTTTTGGAGTACCTGACCCTCTGCTCACGATCATTAAGGACCTTCATGATGGTGAGCGGGCCCGGGTAAAACTACGTGGCCGGGAGTCAGAGCCATTCCCTGTTAACCTTGGGGTGCGACAGGGATGTCCTCTGGCTCCCACATTATTTAACATCTATTTTGACCACGTAGTTCGTGAAGCCTTCAATAGCTGTACCGGGGGAATCTCCATATGGTACAGATATAATGGGAGGCTGATCGACGCCCAGGTGCGGTCAAGGGATGGCACCCTATTGCTCAACCACGTTATGTATGCTGATGATTTGGTAATAGCTGCTCATTCAGAGGAGGAGTTGGAGACGCTGCTGCTGAGACTGGAGCGTGCCACTAAGAGGTGGGGCCTTAGCATCAGCCCCACCAAAACTAAGCACCTGCCTGGGTATTTTGTACCATCGGACACTCTACCCCCACAACTCCCAATCGGTGATGGGGCAGTTGTGGAGAGAGTGGAGAGTTTCCCATACCTGGGCAGTGTGTTTATGACTGGCTCCAGTTTAACAGCAGAGGTCTCACTCCGAATCAGTCGAGCGGCAATATCTTTTCATCGGTTGCGTAACGCTGTGTGGAAGCTACCTGGTCTGTCGCTCCGCACTAAGCTTCAGGTCTTCTCGGCCACGGCCATTCCCTCCCTTCTCTACGCTTGCGAAACGTGGACCCCCCTAATGGAACATCTTCGCCGGTTGGACACATTTAGGCTGGCCTGCCTACGATCCATCCTGGGTTTAACCAGACTGGATTGTGTGAGGAGCTCACAAATCCTTGAAAGATCTGGGCAAGGTCCCATCGGTGAACTCCTCCGGCGGGGAAGGCTGCGATGGCTGGGTCATGTAGCCCGCATGCCCAGCCACCGCATGCCAAAACAGCTTTTGTTCGGCCGGATTGAGGGGGCTAAGCGGGCGCAGCACGGGCTAGAGAAGAGATGGAGTGATGTGGTACAGGAGGACGTGGAGCTGAGTGGACTTGCCGATGACTGGTACCAGCGGTGTCAAGATCGGCCTCTGTGGAGGAGGCTCGTGAAGGACGCTACTGGGCAGTTGGAGGTAGTCGCCCTCCAACAACAACGGAGGGCGGAGGAGCGACGCTCAGAACAACG